AAGGCATGGTGCATTGCAGATATCCGCTGTTCCCTGCATGAAGGATCAACCGTATCCTTCCAAACTAGCATGGATCCTAGGGGGGTCCTGGAAGACCGACAATGTGGGTGGGTGGGTATTCGCTATCCAGAACCTTTGTCAGAAGTTGCCGGCTGGCCCTTTCTAGACTGCCATACTTGAGAATGATTGCTGCTACAGGTGACTCCGGTTCTCTCGTGTAAGCTGCTGGTCTCAGAGAAACGGTCAATCCATGCCATTTATTGGGGCGCCATGAGGCACATCCACACAGATGCAAAAACAAGTGGGCACACCATGAATATCGGTATGCGTCAAAGTATGGGGACCGCAAAGGTTTCGGATCTTCTTTTGGTTTCCCTTTAAGCTAAGCTGAACAGGGCACCGAGCCTACGAGCCTAACCCACATTGACCGCCTCCCCGTCCGGTGGGCGTTTGAGGTATCCCCTGCTGCGGCTGCGGGAAGCACCCGCGCCAAAACCTGTGAAGTGCTTGGACAACACGGTGCGCTGCGCTGTGCTGCGGATGTTGGCACCTGCGACCTGGACGCTGAGGTTGGCTGGTTGGCTGGCTGGTTGGTTGGTTTGCTGGCTGGCGGGAGAACCACGTGCCCAACAATGAGGTCCTCAGCGAAATTGGGTCTTGTGATTTTCCCAAGGCCCTCGTGCCCTCTCAAATTGACGGTGTTTGTTTCTTTTCTTGAGAAGGCATGGTACCCTGGGGAAGGCTCGAGAATGGGATGATTTGTCAGAGGTTGCGGGACCCAACTGGGGATGTATAGCATGTCGTATCACTTTCTGACCAATTTTACTGGTAGTCTGTTGTCAGGGGGAGGAGGAGAAGGCCCATGTCCTTTTAAGTCAGAGAAACGACATCCCCCTCTGAACAGAAGGCTATGACATTCATGGTGAACCTTCTCAATGGGTGGACAAAAACATCCCATGTACAACCGGTCCACCACAAGGTCCCCCCCCTAAAAAAAACCTTCGGGACCTCCCCAGAACCTCTCGGAACCTGACCTTCAGCTTTGGGCAGAGATTTCGCTTTAGGGAAGCCACAACCCAACTTGTGTTCTCTGAATTTTGTTTGCTTCTGGCGTTCTTTGCCCCACAAAATCAATCGCTCCGAATCCGAACACTTCCGCCGGGTCATCGGCGTGACGTGGGTCGTCGCTTTTTCGAAGGTGAAGTTCCGGCGAATTGTGGTGGAGTGGGGCCTCTTCGAACCGGCGACTCGGAGTGAAGTCGGTGTTTTCGTGGGGCAAGCATGGTTCAATATTTGATGGTGACCCCGGATTGATACACCCGTGCTATTAATTGGGGTGTTCCCCTCCAAAAGTGATGAATCACGACGAAACGGGGACAGCCCCTATAAATCAACCAGGGGTTTATGAATCCGGGCTCAACATTAGGGGGCTAAACACTAGTGAACATGGTGTCATATGATTTCCCTGGTGATCATGACTTAATTTGGTGTTACACTCCCCAAACCCATTCAAATTATCCAGGGCTTTGTAGGTTCTGCCTATGTCAATGCGATTTTATTTGGTGAAACGAGCTCACCGCGATGCGGGTGACGCGATTGAATCAATATAAACAATCGCAGAAAGGTCACCAAGGTGGGTCAACGTGTGTCAAGAGCTTGAGCAAACAACGCATGCTTCTTTTCTACAGCAAGCGCAGGTTTCTCCACAGTTCCTTCTTTTTCGGAGCTGTTGTGAATTGAGGTGTCCTTTGATATTAGCTTTAGATTGATCTGCAGGACCAAGCTAGCCGGAGGATTCCTCGTAGAAATGTGGCCGATTCCCCACTGCCTGACTAGCCCGATCTTCCGGATTTGTCCAAAGTTGACATGCATCGTTGCCCAAATTTGTTGATGGCTGGACTATGTCAACCCTAGGATTGAAGATTATCCCTAGGATTGAAGATTGACCAGGGTGGGCTGGACGAGGGAACTTGGTTAAATTGATGTATGGGCAAACATGAGGTACTGCCTTGACGCATGTGGGTGTTGAGCCTTGCCTTTTGTTGGCGAGAGCAACTCATGGTCTTGAAGGTGACTACCTGATTAAATCAGTCCGAAGCACATAAAAACGTGCGCCCCAGGTTTGCCGAGTCTTGATTCAGAGCTGTGGTTTGCTTCACAGCCGTGTCTCCTCTTCCCGCGCTGCTCAGGAGAAGCACTCCAACAAGGCGCGGAAAAGACGCAAACCGCTTTTTGCTGCTTTTTGCTGGAATCACCAAGGGCGGTGTCGGAATCTCAAGGAATCTAAGCGATGGTTTCCCGAAAGTCAATTCCCATTTCCCCTGAAGCGCTTCCTTGCTGAAAACCGGCAAGTTCCCCCCACAAAAAAATAAAAAGAGTACCGAGCCTCCCAAACGAAAACCCGCCCCAGCCTGGGACCCGTGGATTGGCGGGGAGGCCATGAGCTTTGCGGAGCAGATGGAGCTGCACCGGCACATGGCCACGGAGTTGGGCTCCGCCTTTGCACTGCCCCGTGGTGCCAGGTGCGCCCAGGACTACTGCGCTGCTCGGATCGACAGGGGGAACCATGGCCAGGGGGTGTCTTGGGATCTGGGGCTCCAATTATGTCTTTTTCCCCTTGGTGGATATAAGCATCACCTGTTTGGGCCATGTGCGAGTTTTGTTTGGTAGGGCTGCTAACCGGAAACCGGATCGAAGAGCTCGAACTTAGGGACTCCGGGTGATCTTCTTTGGGTTTCCCTAAGCCATGGTTTCCTTTGACGGATCCTATCTCTGGGATCTCCTCCAAAGTTATGAAGTATATTTTGGGCTAGACCAAATGTGATGCAGAATCTGACGACAGTAGTTTTTGCGCACCCAAGATTTGGGCCAAGATTCCATCGGGGTCCTCCTAGTTTGACACGTGCCCGAATCGAGTTGCCAGTTCCAAACGTGTGTGCCATGGTCAAAGGACCAATTTGCGTTTTTGGGGTTAGTTGGGGCAATACGCACAGCAAACCTTTTTTCCAACTCCCCGTTCCACATTCCGACCTTGAGGCCTTTCCTTTGTTGTTCTATTCAAGGAGTACTAAATACGGAGCAGAATCCAAGGGTAAAAGCTACGGGCGGTATGATTGTGGATTTCCTTTAAAGCAAGTCCAAAACGGGTGCCCCTCACAAAACACCCATTGAAATGTTTAAGCTATTTTACTTTCAGTTGTAAGAGGTACCCTAACAAGCATGGGTTGTGGACATAAGTATCGTTGTAAATGCTGTCTACCCAGGGCCCCCATCTGATAACTATACAATGCGATTGGTACTCCAGGTTACAGCCTGTTTCTAAGTTCATCCAACCGGGCATAGATCTGTTTCCAGAGCTGCCAGAGCTCCGCCAAGAATGGAAGAACACCAATCTAGACCAGTAGAACCCATTCTATTTCTAACCAGACTAGGGACAGTAGCAGTTTAAACCTGTTCCAACCAGCGTGGGATTCCACGGATTTTTCGGCCTTTTCTTCATTGTAAACCAAAGGTTGACCCGGCCGGAGCCCCGTGTGTGTGTGTTTTTTTTTTTTCCGGGTCACCTACTTCCCCCAACCCCTTGGCCCTCTGATCTGAGGCTCGGGGCCTGGAGTGCCGTCAGGGCCGCTGCCAGGCCAAGCTGCTCACCAGCGCGGCATGCGGCGCGTCCGAGGAATGCCAGCCCCTCCGCGTGAAGCGGGCGGGGGTCAGGTACGACCTTGGGGATGAAAAGAGTGGGAGTACCAACTCCAACATCTTCATGCTTATCCTATGGTTTTGGAAGCAACATTTTGCGGACACTGAACAATTGCTTATTTAACCAGCGCGTTTCATGATGATGGGCGTATGGAGTATGGGTGTGTCTTTTTGGTTGGAGCACCCTTTGGTTGGTTGAATGAAAGCTAAGGGAAAACGTAGGCAGTTCGGGGGTGTCCGTTTGAGACAAACCTATGATACTGGGGAGCTTCGATGAATCCCCCGTTTCCGGACTGCATGCATCTGGATCCAAGGAAAGTGGGCCGCAACTTGTCGGCAGAGACGCAGCCAGTGGGCCAGATTTTTGTTGACCCTATGGGATCCATCAAAGTGATTGATAGAATTGCCCTCCAAACGGTTGGTTTAAATGGAACTTTGAGCTGATTAAATTGCCTGGGCGGCTACTGATCGTTTTGGCGAAACCAGCACCCCACCAGGTTTTGTCTAGGTCAGGGCTGGTCTGTAAGTGGGTGTACCAGTGTACCCCTAAACTCGGCGGTGTCCCTCTGGTTTCCCACAACCCAACAAAAGGTGCTCTTCAAAGAGATGGAACCACACCGTTTTGGCATGCCACTGTAGTTTTCCACATTGAAAGCCATACCCATTTCCAGAAGAGTGTTTGGAAAGGATTCCCCCGCAGCATTTTGCCCAGCTCGGTAGCAAGGTCAGCTCAACCGCATCATCAATGCCACGACCCTCATTGTGACCAGCAGTGGGGGCGGTGGTCATTTGGTGGCCGCAAGGAACTATTGCTGGACTTAGCTCGCCTTTTTTTCCAGTTTTTGCCTGGGTGGTTTGCTTATTCTCCCTTATGCTCAGGGCAAAAGAAATCGGGTCTGAGTCTGGCTCAGGAACTTGTACGAGGGCATCGTTCAGGAGGCAGGGAGTTAAACATGTGAATCTTATGGCCGATCGCGTCCCAGTGGCTATAGAAAACATGGCATTCGTTTGTTGGTAGTTGACTTTAATCAGGTATCTGGTTTGGGGATTTGGTTCCTGGCAAATGGGAAACTACCCCTCCAAGCGCTCCAACCCACCACTTAAGGGGTGGTTGGTGGGCGATCGACTGAAAAACAGCGAGCCGACACACCCCAAACGACCCGAAGAAGTGCTTATCCATTTGGGTATGTCTTGTTTTAGGGGTCTAAACATTGGTGGTTTTCCTTCTGGTGTCCACAAGAAGAAACGGGCACCCCCAAAACAAGACACGCCCATTTTCAGTTTTTGCAACCATGATGTTACCTGGCGTACACCAAGCCAATGATTTCCAGATGCGTCACATTCAGTGTATGAAGTGAAGCGCTTGTGTGAGGAGACCCCAGTAACCAGTATAGACGTAGGCCCAACCTACGCCCGAACTTCCGGCTTGGGGGTCGTTGGAGAAAACCAAACCAGGAGCGACATCCCTCAAGCTATGCGCGCCGTGCCACAGCCCAAACAATCCCACCGTCCCTCTTGAATCTATCTGTGGTTTCGACCCCAAATTAATTGGATTTTCCGATACACCCCAACGGGGTGTGGATTTCAGGCAGTTTCCGGCAGAAACCAAGCAGCCCAATCTGCATATTCTCACTTTCCTTTGCGTCCTGGCGGTTTGGTGGTGGATACTATTTTAGAGCTTTGCGCGGTGAATCCGGGTGTCCTGTATAAAAACCTGCTAGGGGGCACACCCGGAACATGCCGATTCCAGGTTTGGTCCGTAGGGGTGTGTTTGTTTTTAGTCCCCTAAGAAGAGACACCCTCGTATTTTTGGCGCATTTTGCTTGGATGTTAGGACTTTAACTTATTGCCAACTAACGGGTTTTCCATTAAATCACTAAAAGTGAAACTTTTAGCAGGGGAGCAGATTTCGAAACCGAGGTATTGTCTCGCAAGAGTGTGCTTGCTTCCCGCGAGGCACAGGCTTCCTATGCCTCAGCGCAGCGTCTTCTTGCGGACCACAGGACCCAAACAGCAGCAGATGGGAGCGTCGGGTTACGCCGCAGGATGCGTATGTGGGTTTTCTGCACTGTGCTGGGCAGGTGGTTGTTAGTTCTTTTGTTTTTGTTGGCTCTTTTGGCTCACTGGCTCCTTTGGCTCATTGGCTCTTTTGGTCCTGTTGTTCTTTGGTTCTGCTCACTTTTTGTGGGGGGCAACAAAAACAAAGTTGTGTTGGAATCTTTTGAGTTATGCCTGCGGCCATAGCTATGTGACTCTCGGGAGGACTCCGGATGCGTCGCCGCTTTTTGGGTGAACCAGCTCATTGTCTTTGGAAGTGTTCGTGATTTCCCTCCCGATTTCTGTGACTTCCCCAGTTTCTGGAAGTGTCAACTATTTGTAGGGAAGACCATTTCAGTGGTGAACAAAAGTCTGGCCTTTTTTGACGATATGGAAGCGCATCAACCAAGGCAAACTATCATGGAAAGCCTACAGGTAAAAATGCTGAATACCAACTGCAGTGGATGCGGTGGGTAAGATACACCATTGACGGACCTTTTTGTTGCGGGTTTCCCTTTTCAACCTTCGTGTGCCCTTTGGTCTATGTTGTGTCTAGGTTTGGGGCCCAGCAGAGGCAAACACAGTAAGCAGATGAAATGAGTGGTTGGCAAGGCTGATCAACAGAGAGTGCCTTGCAAGAAGTCACCCTTTCTTGAGGCTGATTCAAAGGCAGGGCGAAGGAAACCTTCCATTTTTGGGCGTTCTCCATAGGCGGATTCCTTGAATTCTACTCGGGTCCACTTGGGTCGACAAATTTCCATTGGCGAGTACCCAGCTCCAAGAATGGCTCCGAAATCTCTTGTACTTGTTTCCTCTCAAAATGGGTCTGAAATTCCATGGAGACCCATCAATGAATGAAAAGACCTTTTTTGTCCCCGAAGTCTGATGTCCAATGGGGATTTTGGACGCGACCCATGCGGGTTCCGGGGAGTTCCACTCCTGCCAGGCTCACTGGTTTACCGAAACCCATCTGGGGGGGTGCTCTAAAAAAGGGAGACGCCAGTTTGATGTTTGAGTTTGCTTTTGGGTTGTTTAGAGGAGAAACGGAGAAAAAAAACGGGGGAACCCTGCGCTGGGTTGGTTACATCTGGGATTAGCAACTTGTTGAGGGGCCAAGGCCAACAGCCATGACTTCGGCTGCCCTTGTCCGGGTTCTTCTGGGAGCACGAAGCATTCGGATTGGGGTCTTGGGAAAGGAAATCCTTCCAGTGGTACCACTCGTAATTGCGATTATCTTTCAAACCAGCTTCTTTTTCCGAGTGCTGAATATCACTCTGCTAGGTGTCTCCCACGAAAAGTCTGGGGTCCGAGGCTTGGTACTTTAGCAATGGCAAGGATTCCTTTTGTGTGGTTCAACACCTTTCCGGCCATATTAAGAGTTCTCTTTGGGTGGGATGATCAAAGGGAACATATCTCCTTTGGTGAATCCGGAGGACGCTCTTCACTGCCGCTACAGGCGAGCAGCTCGAGGCCACGCTGAGGCAAATGCAGATGGGCAAGCCCCCTGTGGCCACTCGCTGGCAAATTTGCTGCGCCTCCTCAGGTAAGTGGGCCCCCCGTTTAACCCATCTTGGTTGCCCTTTTTGTGGTGCAACCTGTGTGGTTGTTTGGTGTGACCAAGTGAATTTTGCTTGGAAAGATGATTGGTTTGTTGGTGCAAACATCAATACAGTTGCGTCCGAACATCCACTTTCGCTCCACGCTCCTAGTTTGTTTCCTCCAGGCTCCCTTGTGAATAAAAGAGTCATCATATTTAGGTGAGCCTTGGTTGGTGGTTTGGATTGGTAATTTGGGCTTTTTGAATCCCTTGTCCTTTGATGGGAAGCGGCCCCCTCGCCTCCAAACCACCACAACAAACCAGAACCAGCAGGCAGGATCAACATGCCAAGATGCTGCCAAGCGCAGCTGGTGAGAAAGCTGCAAGCGGGGTGACTTCGATTGCTTGGGATTTTCTCTTCACATTTTCCGGCATGTGTTTCCTTTGCCCATCTTGTGGGATACATGTATGTATATGATATATGCAGATATATTGTGAAACCAAACGCCAATGATGTTTGTTGCGAGGTTGGTGACTCGCTAGACTCACGGTTCTGACGCACTTACAACAGGGCACAGACGGTTTGGCAAGATTATGAGTGGGCTAAAACCAAACCTTGCATTTGGACTAACCCAATATCAGCAATGGACAAAGAAAATGGTTATTCATATTGGATTGTCCCCTACTGTATCTGTTTCTTGCGGTAGTATCATCGTGCACTCACATTATAGGTGTTTCCTTAAGCAACAACCAACTCGTGACTCAAGGGACATATTTAGATTGTCCCAAGATATGGCATGGGGAAACCACCCCCAAAAACCTGATCTTCCGTTGGTTCCCTTTGAGACCAACCAAAACAATAATTCCCTGACAAGAAGGGCGTGACCTGCGCAACCACATGCCCTAAGTGTGTGCCCCAACCGTATGTTCCACGGGGTGATCAATGCACTGTGGAGGGATCAAATCCACGCCGATTGGCACCAGTTGCCATTGGTGACTTATCAACCTGTACATATTTGAATCGGGCTTCATCCATCCCAACCAGTGCCTAGTGTGGATTTTGTCAATCCACATGGCGTGTGTGTGGCACGTACCCTCGGGGCGTGTGTTTCTGCTTTGCTCTGCTCAGACTAAGGAGACGATTGACATGATCCCCGGTCTTACTGGCAACTCTTTTCTTTTGCCGTGGTGGGTTTCTATGTAAATCAAGCAAGCGGAGGGCCTCATGTTTTTTGTGGGAAGCCAATGGGCAGGTTGTCAAAACTAGGGTGACCATTTAGTTCCGTTTCAGGGGGTCCAAAAAGGTCCCAGAAAATGACATTGCTTCTAAGGACGTCGGTAAATATGACCGGAGTTCCCAAAAAGAGGTTGTTGGCAACTTGACATAAGCCTTGTGAGTCATAGGCGCCCATCATTGCGACAGGATGAAGTCGGGGTGCACGGACATCTTGGGCATTTCCATGGGCGACTTCATGTCAAAGCAGTGGGACAGCCGACAGCGCGCCGGGGACATCGAGGGCTTGAAGAAGCTGGCGCGAGTTCACCGTTTTCGGAGTCGCAAACAGAAGGGTGCATGAGTCAAGTGGGAACGGGTGCAACAAGAGATGGCGTCCAATTGGGGTCTTCTCCAAAATGATCTTGTATTTTAGAGTAGCCTCAATATCAAGCAGAATCTGAGTAAGCTAAGGCGATGATTGTTTTCACCAGCATTTGCTTAGTTGGACTTGATTTGAGTGTTCCTAAGTTGTTTCGAGCATCTGAAGCAAAATGCAGGATGAGGTCTGTATAAGCCCAACCCCCTCGACCCCAACGCACATCATGGAAGATAGTTGCCAGCAACAAACGCATTGGAGATGGCAAACCCTGCCAAAAACGCATGGTGTCTGGGGAATGTTCATTCCCAATGAACAGGCGTTGGGGCTTCCTCAGCAAACCAATGTCCAGAAGTCCGTTTTATTCTGTCCGATTTCAGTCGATTCAGTGATCAACCAAAAGGGAATTGCTTGGCCACGGTTGCCTGGCAGAGTTTGCCCGTCACTCAGTGTGTCCCTGAAACTAAGGCATGACCTGTGTTGTGCCAGCTGCTCCGATTTCAGGGGTCAGTTGGACCCTAGTTCCAAACGGACTAGGTCACCTTCCAAAGGGAAGCAACTTCGGGGCACATGAGGGAGAGTTTGGCAAATTTTGTTCGCCAACCCGGCCCATGGTTTCCTTTTAAAGTGAAGCTAGCAACTTAATTGAAAAAGAGCGGTATAAAACGGGGTGTGTTTGTGTTAGAGGGAACCCTACAGGGAAAATAGCAGGAAAGCCAACATTCTAGGGGCCGATTCCACATTCTTTTCAACCATCGTTCTTTGCAAGAACCAGCCGTTGTCCCTGGGTTTCCGGAGGTTTTCCAGAAAGAAGGATCCCTGGAAAGAATGGGAAAGGTACCCTCGGAAACATGTAGGTTTAAACAGGTGGCCCAATTTGTTGCGGGCGCTTCGCATGGATAGGTGGCCAAGCAGCCCTGGACGCAGTTCCTCTTCGGCTCGCAGTGCAGCACCTACATTAAGAATCTCGCAATGAGCAGCGCCCAAAAACACCTTTGCCAGTTTAGTAGCTGGTGCTGTCTGGTTTTTTGGAGGTTACAGGAAGTGTCATGTAAACCTTGATAATAGCCGAAGCGGAAGTCAATGAGTGATGGTCGCTGCCCTAAAGGGGACGCCTTCATTTGTTCGAGCCTCAATCTTGATTCGTACTTGGCTCCTCTTGGCACTGATGTTCCTTAGCTTTTTTGGGCTGTTCCGTTGCTTGGAGGTGAACCGTGAAAACTGCGCTAATTATGAGCCTGGCGGCTGCCGACTCATGTGGGTGTGCCTCAAATCGGGGAGCCCAAAAATGGTGGCTTTCATTTTAGTATCCAGTTAAAGCAACACGGTTTGCTTGGAAAGCAAGCCATTACCGGGATGTCCCGAGCTTGTTTAGACATCAAGAGTTGGCGCTCCTTGCACCTGCTATTTGGCATTCTGATTGGGCAGTGCAGTTGGTCCATTGATCCTTTGACCTCTTCATCCTACTCAATATCACCAAACCAACCGTAGGTTCGTTGAAGTCTAAGCTTATTTCGCGGGCCAGTCAGCCCCAAAACGCAGCGCTCCACTCGTTCTGTTGAATCGGCCAAAAATCAAGAACCAAGCACGGGTGACCCTATCAAATACCTCATGGCTCTATCAAAGTCTCACCGGAGGCTTGGGGGGAGGCGTCACGAGATCTAAGGAAGGTGCTGCGGGGAAACAACCTGCAGGGCCTTCCAGTGACAAGGCCCGGGCGGAAAGCGCCTCAACGTCGGTGGGAGTGGCAGTTGCTGTCAAGCAAAGAGCTCGGCTTCCCCAAAACGGTGCTGTTGAGGCTGACGAAGAGATGTGTGCCTCTGTTTTTTTGCGGGGACCCGTTTCAGTTTGGTTTGAAGGCAAACCAAAAGGACCACCGTTTTGCGGGTCCACAACCAAGTTTTGACGAGCCATGCCCGTGTGAAGCAGAGTCTGAAGGCCAAGAGAGGACACCTTCAAAGCCGGGAAAGCGCAGTTTCCAAAACCGCTGAAGAGGGAAATCCCGTGCCATGGCATTTCGAACTCGCCAGCAATTTGCGCCTGAACAGTGCGAGCGCACGGCCAGGAGATCATACTTTCACAGAGCCCTCGTTGGCCATATTGGACATATCATATCTGCAAATAAGCTGGGTTGCACCTCACTGCCCCCTGTTCAACAGCTCCCAAATTCACAAGTAAAGGGTTGAATATTTGACTTCCCCGGCTACTGAACTTTAAGTTAAACTCTTAGGGAAGATAATTTTAAGGTGAACGCAAGCCCATTGTTTTGTCTTGTTTTTTCTGGCCAATCCACGCTGCAAGGGAGCTGGTGTCAACAGCAGGCTGGGTAAGATGGAACAGGAGCTCTTCAGGGAATCGGGCATACCCCTTAGTGGATATGTAGTGGCTGCATACCCTAGTTTCCCCAAGTTAAGGGTGGGATTGGGGTGGCAACCATCCGCGATTTTGGTGTCTCTCACAGACCGGCTCCCGGCCGATCTCAGAATTTCGCACGTCGGGAGGCTGTACTCTACACAGCCGCTGCTCATCGCTTCGCTGCTTGAGGCGGAAGGGCGCATGTTGCTGTGGCAAACTTTGACAACCTGTTCGTTGGTGACGTGCAATCTATGTTTTCTTTGACATTTCGTTGGGCCCTTGATTTTTTGAGAGTTTCTTGATATTTCAGTCCAGGCCCAAAAAGTTCAAACGTCTGGCCTGACAAGCTGCAGCCGGTCAGAAAGCAGAACCGGGGGAGGGCGGATTGGGACCTCCGGAATTCCGGTGACAGTTTCATTGCTCTCTTTGGGGGACATTGGAAAAAAGTGCTTGTCCCTGCCGAAATCAGGTAGAGGAGATGTTTGAACGACCAGTTGCTATGAACCTTCTCGTAAAGTGGGAAACCTCCGTGCGGCTCAAGCGTTGACCGTTTCCCAGGAAAGAACCAAGAAATGAACCGATGTTCAAACTACAGTGACTAAGAATAGCTAGAGTTTGCCTCTGACTTCTCTTTTTGGTTGAACATCCAGTTAGACCACCCTCGCGCTTGGAACCTTGTGGAGAGGGGTCCCTGAGTCACAAGGCGAAACATGTCACTCTTTGGCTCAGAGGGACGGCAACTATCGCCACCCTGAACCCACACCGATGTGAGAGTCACGACCCACGAACCAGGCCCTAGCCCTTGAGGGGATCTTGGATGAGCTCAGTTTGAACCTTTGCCTCTTCTTTTTTTTTCTGGGGCCTCCTATTTGTTAGACAAAATATGAAGCATCTGAGAATCGTGTGTATTTTTGGTGTACGATCGCCTCCTGCTTTTTTCGCCTTTGTTTTGGGGTTCGCCTTGTTTTTTGGGGAGTCCTTCTAGTGATTTCGTTTAGTCAACTTGAGGGCAAGGTTCAGTTTGCTGGATTCGTTTGCCAAGACTTTAGATTCATTGGGGACACTCTTAAGTTGCTGGCAACAAGTCCCAGCCTGGATGGGTATTATTTTCAGGGGACCCCCCCCCCCCAAACCAACCCAAACGGGAACCCTGAAAAAGAGGAACCACGCCCACCTGGTTTTGCTGGTTTTGCCCTCCCGTCTCGTCCTTTCCCTGGTTAGGCGGCATCAAAGGCTTCGAAGGGGAGGACAGATCCTGTGGTGGTAGATCTCTTCATGACGGATCTGCCCACCAACGAGGCCGTGCACTTCTTTGCCGCGCTCCAGAGCACCGGAGCCGCACTGGAGCCCAAATGACCTGGGGAAGCGATGATCACTGATCTTCAGGGTTTTATCTTGCAGGGGGTTGGCAGACCGGCCACAGGAGGTCCACGTGGCCCTAAGGTTGGAAGTTGGACTCGGAGTTGTTCCTTCCACCTTGGGACCCCCAGCTTTCCAGGATTCCTGTGCCATGGATCCATGGCACGGTCTTGAACTGTTGACCTTTGCTACTCAGCTGAACTGAAGGCTATGTGGGAAAAAGGGTGAAGAGCTGAAAAGAAACATCGTTGAGGAACAATCGAGTTGAACAACTCAAGTGAGATTGAGGTTGATGAGAAGCAGGGAAGAGAACAGCAGAGAAATGCTCCGTTCAAAGAGTGTTTGTTTTCGAGAAATAGTTGTCAATTTCCAGGACAAAGGGAACTGGTCTGCCTTCTGTGCTTGTTGCTTCTCCATGGTTCCTTTCAAAGTCGTTGTTTGTTCCTCGTCTCGGGTGTGTCTCAAACAAGTAAAACCCCCAACATGGCTTCGGTGTTCCTTTTGTTTTGCTTTGCCTGGAGAAAGGTGCACCCTCAGGGTTCGTTTGTCTCTCCCACCTTCTTTGAAGCGGTGCCACGCGGCGTTGAGAAATCCAGTGCTGTTCTTCGGAAGGCACGCTGGGTGAAATGGCGGGCGGTGGGGGGGGTGGTGGGGTTTTGTGCTCAAGGCGAGATCGGCTGCTCAAGTGGTTGCCAAAGAGTGGTTAGCAACCGTGGTTATAACCTGAGGGCCTTGTAACGGCAAATCGATCATAACCAGGCTTACTTGTGACTTACTGAGTAGCCTGCCTCCCTAAGTGATCATGCTGACCCTTGATCCATAAACTGTTTGGGATTTGTCCGGCATTCCGATTCGCTGGAAGGAATTTGTTAAACGACTCAACTTTGGCAGGGGTCAACCTTTGCACAGGAAGTATCCTCCCAAGTGACCCAGAAGTGGTGGGTCGTCCCTTTGGTGTATTTTCTTCCGAAAAAGGGGGTTGTCACCAACTAGTCTAAGTCAAAGGCACCAAACCCGCTTGTCAGACCCCTTTTGAAGTGCCCCCCAACTGATTGTTGGTGGCTGCAACTCCCAACCACCACTTGTCCACAAGCCGAGGCATCAAGCCCAAGCTGGACTCGGAGTGGAAAGGCAAGCTGATCCTTCACAGCCTGTCTGCGGCTTAGTCACCTGTCGCTTCAGGCTCAGAGTTGGAAGCGAGGGCACACCTGTTCTGAGGGACGTTTGAGTTGGTAAGAGCCGAAAGGGAAACGCAACAGTTTTGGGAGTCCCTAATTTGAGAGCACATGTAGTTCTGGATGGTTGCCCAAAACTTAGCAGACTTAGTAAGAGGCAGGGTTCAACTAGATGTCCTCTCTGAGGGTGGTTTCAAACATCACCTTTTGGAATTCGCCCAAGCAACATGTGATCTGTTTAAGCGGTCAAAGACTGACCAGACCCGGAGTAGTTTGTTCCCACTTCGTTTTTGAGTGATATGTGTATATATATATATATATGTATATATAAACGAAGCCCGCAAACCACATGGAAACAGTTGCCCATGAAGAGGTCAACTTCGTTTTGCGGGGCCCCTAGCCCCAATAGGAGGTATGTAGACCGTCTCTTGCGTTTCTTTGCGCAATTGTCCGGCTTCTCCAACAGACTTTTTTTGGGTACATGGGTTTATCTCAACATAGCAACACTCCCAGAGCCTTTTTTTGTTTGATGGTGACTGTCTCCTGTTTGGCGCTTCCATTTGGCCCATTTGGATACCCCGCAAATCAACCCCTTTTGGGAGACCTTCCGGGTCACAAGCTTGGTGCGGCTGCTGGTCTTCGGGCTGGAGGAGCTGGCTGGCGACAAACGGAGCCATGTGAAGCTGGCGGGCGCTGACAGCTTTATGATGAAGGCTGCAAACGTTCATGCCGGGCTCAGCTGCTGGGCCTGCCATGCCCCGTCCGGCTCATTCCAGCCACCTGGTTGGCCGGCCCCTGCCGCTCGAGTTCAAGTTCCTACGACTTTCCTCTGCAGACTGCACAGCCCAGCCCGGCATCATCTGCTCAAGCCCACATTTCTCTTGCGGTTCTTTTAAGCCTAGACGAGGCGGGCGGCGCGCGCCCCAAGCCCCCAATCCCAACTTGTTCCCCAGGCCCCCATCGCCGAGCTTGGGGGGTTGGTGGGCGAAGATCAAGAAAGAGGGCTACCGGGGGGTGCGGAGCTTGCAGCTTGCGCTAAGCGCTGCAAGCTTGGCTGGGACTGAGTCTGGAATCGCGCCTCGAGTCTAGGTCTAGTTGAAGGCCTTGGCCAGATCCGCACCGGAAGGCCAGCATCTTCAAATTAATTGCAATAGCATGTGGTTTCCGCAGCTGATTGCACCCATGTTTGTGGAACCAAACGTCACGCGATTTGGGGTGCTCGCTTGAGCAGATGTCAATAGACATTACCACAATGGATCAACGGGAGACCACCCCATCAACCTGCAGAATCAATACGGGCGCATCCAAAACCAATATCCTGGCAATATTGACAATTGCTCATTTGGGTGTGTCTTAAAATAGGGGTACCCCAAAAAAAGTTGGTGTCCTTGTTGGCTTTCCTATAAAACCGCAAAAAAGCATCCTGGAAAAAGACACGCCCATTTGGGTGTTGTGGACCTTAGAATAACCAAGCTGATGGATTGATAGGGCTCACCTACCTAATCAGCTTCTTAAAACCTTGTCCACAGCGCAACTCAATCCACAAAAATATGGTACTCCGAAAATATCAGTGTTCCCCAAAGGTTTGGGTCCCTGTCCGCCATCCCTCGTTTAAACATGTGTTGTTTGTTGCCAAAAGATGAACCGCCATCTTTTGTAGGGTGTTTTGCTTTGACACCAATCCTTCAAGAGCCTCTTTTGCACAAGCGTTGGGTTTTCCTTAAGGAGGACAGCTCAAACCCAAAAAAGGTCAGCCAACGGCCACCACCCAACGGCCTCCAAGGCCGCCCGCCGGAATGGACGCCAGCGACGTTTCTGGCGGCCAGGCGGAGATGGAGCGGCTGTCCGGGGTCCCCAGGGAGCAGATCTCGCTGGAGAAGCCGCTGGGACAGAGCTACATGGGTGTGTGTGTGTGTGTTTATGTCTTGGGTTTGGGGAAGTGACCCCCTGGTTCTTGTAGAGGTAGATGAGAAACTGCCCGCGGTTTACCTTCAAACTGCCAACCCGAGCCAAACAATGTATACCCTCAAAGAGGACACCACGTGGTGTCCCTTCGTGTCACGCGAACGAGATCCCTAGCGTTTCCCAACGAAAACATGTTTCTCTGAACATGTTTCTCTGAACATGAACTCAGCTTGTCAAGTTCGGATCTGGACCCTGGGGATCATAGCGATTCCTGTCAGAAGAAACACATCATTTCAGGGAGATTCCGAGATGCAGCAAGAATCTTGAAAAGTAATCTTGAATCCCCACCCCCTTTAAAGTGCTTTTGGTGGATTCATTGATCTTGAGGTTCATGCCCATCAACAGCGCCTTCACAAAAGACAGCGGTCTCCCGGCACCGGGGAAGGATGTGGCGATGAGGTTCAAGGCTGGAAGTTTCTAGTCGCCGTCCACGTTTTGAACACGGGTCCCTCAAACAGATATGCTGTTGCAAGGACCGTCTCACACACTCATTGCGAGGGTTCCTAAGGACCATGACCTGGCCCAAGGAGCTTTGAACATGGCACAGCGGTGGGTTTGGAGGCCTAAGACCCATGATTGTTCAAATCCCAAAAGCGGATCAGAGTACCCTTGGGGTGGTTTGAATGTCTTCAGCCTAAAGAAAATTGTGTCTACCTAGGCAAAAAATGAGGTCCTTCAAACACAGCAATTCGGCTAACCGCTGGCGAGTCATGTTGCAAAGTACTTGTAGGGCAACTCTCTAAGCCAGCGTCAACGAAGTCCCTGCAAAAAGCTTGCACACAAAACCCAGCGGTCCAAAGCTATACTGAAAGATGTCACGCCCAGAAGTATGTGAAGAATCCAGGCCATGCCAAACCAACCAAACATATGTTGAAAACTCAAAAAGTCAAGCAAACTAACAAACCAATATTAAATAAACAAACAAATACGAACAAACAACAACCAAGCAAATCTGGCAAGCAAAATCAGGCCAAGCAAGCAAGCGCAAAGATAACAAACAACCAAACAAACAACCAAACAAACAACCAAACAAACAACCCACACAAACAAGCAAGTCAATTCAAGCAATTGAGCAAGGAAGCAAGCAAATCAAACAAAAAGAACAACAACCAAACAAACAAAGCAACCCAAACAATCAAAGCAAGCAGGCAAATAAATCAACCCAAACAGTCAAAGCAAGCAGGCAAACAATCAATCCAAACAAACCAAACAAACCAAACAAACCAAACAAACCAAACAAACCAAACAATCCAAACAAACCAAACAAAGCAAACAAGCAAACAAAAGAACAGGCGAAACAACCAATCAACCCAAATATTTCAAGCCAAACTAACAAATCAAGCCAAACATCAAGCAAGAAGACAAACAGCTAAGTGAAACAAACGAACCAAACAAGCAAACAAAACAAGCCAATCAAGCAAAACAATCAACTATGCAAGCAAGCAAGCAAGCAAGGAAGCAAACAAAGAAATAATGAATAAATAGAACTAATCAAGCAAGCACGGACTCAAACAAAGAAACGATCCAACCAAACCGAACAATCCAAGCAAACCAAACAAACACATGAAGCCAACTCATCAAGCAAACAAGAAAGCAAACAAAAAAGCAAACAACGACCTAATCCAAATAAACTTAACAAACCAAACGATCGAGACAATCAAACCAAACCATTCAGCAAATCAATCAAATCACACAAGCGAATCAAGCAGGAAGGAAGCAAACAAAGAATAAATCTATCAGTAGAAACCTAGGAAACAAAAAAGGCGATTGCTTCACCCCAGGTCCACCAGGGACGCCAAGGATCCGCAAAACCTGAAACTCAGGGGAGCTTCACCTCAGGTCCACCAGGAACATCAAGGATCAGCTGAAGCAGGACAATCCCAAAGAGACTACGAAGAGAAAACTCATAAATGAAACCCGTCCAGGGATCGAAAAGTGACTGCTTCACCCCAGGGACACCAAGATCCACAGTAAATTGGAGAAACAGTTCAAGCAAGCCTAAAAAACCGAACACGCCAAACAAAGCAACCAAACCGACTATTCAAGCAAGCAAGGATGCAAACACAGAAAAATCCAAACAATCCCAACAAACCAAACAAACCAAACAGCCAAAGCAAAGAAACACTCCAAAAAGTTTAACAAACAAGGCCAACCAGCTGGTCAAGCAAGCAACCATACAAACAAACAAAAAGAAACAATCCTGACAAACCTACCAAACCAAACATGAAACAAAGCAAACACGCAATTTGTCCAACCAATCAAGCAAGCAAGGAAGCAAACAAAGAAATAATCCAAACACACCCAACAACCCAATCAAACACAACAACCCGATCATACAAATCAATCCAACTAGTCAATCAAGCAAGAAGGCAAGCAAACGAAACAAGCCACACAAACCTAACACGTAATTCAATCCAACTAGCCAAGCAATCAAGGAAGCAAATAAAGAAACATTTCAATCAAATAAGTTCTACCAGCTAGTCAAGCAAGCAAGGAAGCAAATGCAGAATCAATCAAAACAATCCAGACAAGCACAAACAAAGAAACAGTTCAAACAGAAATCAAACACACCAAGCAAACATAACAATACATCAATCCAACCAAGCAAACAAGAAAGCAAGCAAATAAACAATCCACACAGACCAACGAACCAAACGAAGCAATCCAAACAAACAAATCAATCCAACTAATCAAGCAAGCAAGGAAGGGAACAAACGAAACCAGCCAAACGCGCCTATCAAGCAAATCAGTTCAGCTGGCCAAGCAAGCCAAGCTTCAAACAAAGGAACAAACCTAACAAGCCAAACAAACAAATCAAACCAACTCATCAAGCAAGCAAGGAAGCACACAGAGAAATAATCCTAACAAACAAATCAAATTAAGTAATCAAGCAAAGGAAGCAAGCACAGAAGCAATCCAATCAAACCGAGCACATTCTCAGGGCATCGCTTTAGATCACCCGGTGCTTGCTCGCGAGGCTCAGCTGCCGCTGGAGGAGGAATTCTTGGCGGAGCTGGGGAATCCGCTACTGGTGGGGGACGAGGAGATGGGATGGGGTCATTGCCTACTCCCTGAGATACCAAAAACGTGTTTGGCCCCGCGGGTTTTAGACCACCAGGGGGTGAACTAACTGCTGCTACCAGAAAAACCTAAGTGTTGAGATTCATGCCCGTGTGAAGAATCAGAACCCTTGCATTTGCTGGAAACTTACAACCCCTCGCGGATATATGTTCTGGGCCGGATATTTTCTTAAATCCTGAAATGTGTCCATGTCTATGTAAATCAGCGAGTACTACCGCAGTACACACATTTGCTTTGTGGTTGTTGTTTGTTTGTTTGTTTTTTTTGGGGGGGGGGGGGCGGGTGTTTGCCTCAGGACGAGGTGGTGCTGGTGATGCTGGGCTCTCAGCCCACGGCTTCGGCGGTGAAGGGCTACGCGGAGCAGAGCCTGGAGCTCCCGGAGCCCGCGAAGGGCACCAGGCGACCGGGCCACCGGCCCCACCGGCCACCCCCCCCCCCCCCGGCCGTGTTTCGGTTGTGGTGTCAACGGCAGGCATGGAAAAGACCAACGTTTTGGAGGGGTCCCGGAAGAAAGAAAAGCAACACGGGAAAAAGCGCCAAGCTTTGAGATATATTTGTCCTTGACTAAAATGATGCGCAAGAGAACACAGAAATCCTAACCAAGTGATGGGGTGTTCGTGAGGGTGCCCTAGAATGTTGGTGTCCTTGTGGTTTTCCTTGCAAATGCTTGAGGGGACGAGGTGCCCTTTTGGGTTTGGTTAAAAAGGGAAACCAAACTGTGTGTCTTTGGTTCTGAATCCCTATCTTGACACATACATATCCATGCTGTTTGTGTTTGGGGGGCAGAATCAACTGTCCCCGAATCAAGTTGACAATCAGAAAGTCGCCTGCGGCCAACAGGTCGCAAACGGTTGGTGTACTCCCTCTCGAGATCAGCCAAGCAGCAATCCCGCAATGTCATCAAAGAACCCAATAATGAGTACGTACATCTAGGGGGACCCCGAAGAGTTTGATTTTCCTTTTGGTTTCCCAAACCAACCCCAAAACGGGCACACGCACAATACATGGCTGAATCGCCCAAAGGGAGAGACCAATGGCTGGTGGGGCAGGGCGCAAGCCATGTTGGGGGCTTGCTACATACCCCAATGGTTGGTGTCCATTGAGATTCCCTTCAAGCCCCCCAAAAGAGCCCCGAGCCTCAAAACCGACACACACGCGCACACACACCCACAAACACCTTTCTCTTGGGCTTATATCCGTAGGCTGAAGCCCCATCATTCCGGGGATTGGTTAGATTGGTTCCCAGCACACAAACCGCCTGCCAGGTACGTCTTCCTGGCCTGTGGCAAGCCCAGTGTGGAGGCCTATGCGAACCTCTACAGCGACCTGGTGCTGCTGGCGCGCGGGGTGGCCCCCGGCAGCGGGGGCCTCGATCCAGGATGCCTTGGGGTCAACCTTTGGTACCGGCAACGTCTTATGTGGGAACGCTGATTGCCACGGGACTTTCTGAAAAGAGTGCTCGCATAAAATGGTCCCTCTTCTGTGGCTCGAGTTTTAAGAGTCGGCACCATCTCAGTGGTCAGTGGGCCTGTATTTTGCCTCACCTACATGCCCGCCGAGGCGGGACCCACTATCTACATCCCAGGTGTGAGGTTGAACTTTGGCGAAGGCTGGATATATTTGTGTTTTACTGAAATCGACTAAGCCATGAGCTGAAGTCCATCAGTTTGCAAGAGCCGCGACCGATTTCATCCGTGTCCTTACATGATGCCTCCTGTTTAAGAGGGTTGAAGCTCATGAGGTTCACTAGTTTTTTTGTGTGTGTCTGTGGTGCGTAAGCTTGGGGGAACCTCTTTGTGTTTGGTGTTAAAGGGAAACTAACAGAAGCACCGCCATTTTGCGGGACATGTGAACCAGAGTCCATGTGATCTGTGTTTTTGGGGGACACGAGTCGACAACAACCCGCACGTTGTCGAGTCGTGGTTTGAGTCGAGCGGACAGCGCCGCAAAGGGGCCGGCGTCGTCCTATGGCCTTTTTGTTCGGGGATTCCTCATAGGTTTCAATTTTTTGGGGGTTCCTTCCACTACCAGGGTCTCTGGGCTGGGAAGAGCCAGGAAGCAGCAATCTGGTTGGTCAAAAAGATATGTTGGTCATTTGGCTGGGCTTGGCTTGAGTCCCAAAGTTGGGAGCCGACTCAGAAATGGCCGCTTTATCTAGCGGATCCTGAAACGGACCCAAGAGGACCGAAGATCTGAGCCGCGGAAGCTGGTTGGGTTCACTGACCTGCCCATCTTTTTGTTGAGTCTAGGTCCCCCCGTAGTGCCCTTTTACCGTTTTTTTTTTGGTTGGGAGGGTTCCCCTACTAAGATACACTGCAGAAAAAAGGGTACCCTTATTCTAACCTCTCTACTGGAGGACCTAGGAGTAACCTAAGATCAATCAACAACCCTCCGGTTCAGGAGAACATGGTACCCCCCCCCCCCTCTGCAAAATTCTAGGAACTCTTATAGAGGCCCTTCCAAGAATTCACCTGTCAAAAGCCGAGCTCTTATGCTGTTCGTTTTCTCATGTGTAGTCATCGCCCCAAAAGGTCCAGCTTTCATTGCTGCCTTGCAAATTAACTTGGAACCTGGCAAAAACTCTTCGGGTGTGGAACCCCTCGTTTATCTGAAGGGGATTTTCAGGTGTAGGCAAACAAGATTACTTACATGCGTTTCCTTTCCCTTTTCTCGACCTCTCCGAGGTCGCACAGTGCTGGTGCCATTCACAGGGCAAGATGCCAAGAAATTGCTGGGCCGAGCTGACATCTCGGTGACGAGGACCTGCTGGCGTCAAGAATGGTAAAGATCTTGGCCACAACCCAACACCCACAGGTCGCCCCTTTGTGTTTTGTGCACAGGTTTCCCTTGAAAAGTAACTACCAAACCAGCATTTAAAAGATCCGTACCTGTGGATCCTGCCTCAAACCGGGTACAGTACCCCCTTTTTGTTCATGGCCAGCGGGGGTCAGAGATTTTCTCTCGGCCAGGAGTGGGGGCATGACTGCTGGGGAGCTCTTGGCGCTGCGGAAACGGGAGACAGACCGGAAGCTGCCGAGCCGCAAAGGGTTCGGACTGGTTGGGTGCCTGGTGTGTTCTGGATTCGGTCTCTTTTTGGATCGGTTTTAAAAGGAGACCAAAAGGAACACGCATCAACCCCAAATTTGGGTTTGCCCCTTCTTGGTGTACGTGTTTTGGTGTTTGGCTTTCGGTTCTTTTCATGTCTACGGGCTAAGGGAAAAAAGGTAGGAGACGCAAAGGAGAAATTCGAGTAATCCGAAAGGACAGTAGGGCTGAGACGGTTCTTTTTTTCTCTATGGGCAAAAGGAAAAAAGTAATAGACAAAAAGTAGTAGACAAATACGAGCAATCTTACAGGAAAGCAAGCTTGAGAATTGTTGAGACATCCCAAGCTTTCAGGGTCGGGTGGATTTATTTGTTTTGCCTCAGGCAGGCGCTGCTCCACGTGGAACCTTTGACCCAGTCGGCCACCGAAGTGCTGGCGCAGTCGTTGGGGGACAACGAGGACTCACTGTGAGGTTTTGGGGTTTCACTGAGAAGTTGTGATACTGTGGATGGACGAAATCCTGCGCCACTTTGAAACCATTTTGAAACCATGGTATTTACAGGGGAATCATCATCCCAGGGTTTCTTAGGTGGTGCAGGATTTCGTCCGTCCACAGTTTGGGGCTGACAACATACGAAACACATTCTGATCTGATGTGGGGTGTACCTTTGGGCCAAGATTTTCCAAGCAGAGCTGGGAAGGGACACCAGCAGGTTTCTTCGTTCTTTGTATTTCTCGTTCTCGTCATTTCAGTGGGGTGGTGGGTTCTTCAAAGAATCAGGTGTGGAGGGGGAGAATAGTTTTGGGTCTGTCTTCCTTTGAGGGTACCTCGTTTTGGATGGTGTTAAGTTGAAAAAATGCAATAGGACACCATGCATTTTGTGGTTTCCCGTATTTGAAACAACCTGCATCTGGCCATCACAATGAGTTCCCAGTCCCCTTTCCCGATAGATGTATGTTGGGTTCAATCATCAGGTGGCATGGGGGGGGGGACATTGGGGGGTGGGGGGAAGAAATCAGTGAGTTTTGCCACTTCGGTGTTTGCCAGGTGGTTTGGTTCTTTGGTAAGTTTTCTTGCCAGTTCGGTGTTGGCAGGTGGTTTGGTTCTTTGGTTCTGCTCATGGGCGTATCTTTTTTCAGGGGACCCCAAAACGGCTTTGGCGGTTGTGGTTTCCCTTTAAGACGGGGGGAACAACTCCAAAACCACACGCTTTTGGGGGGCTGAGGAAGCGAATCGTTTCCAGCCGTCTGATTGGGAAAAATGGGGCGCTCTAAGTTTCAATATTTCTAAACGCCAAAAATCCCTTGTTTGACCTCAGCTCATATGTCTTTTGTCTCGGCTACAATCAAGACTGCTTGGCGGCTCCTTGCTTCATGACTCTGCGCAAAATATACCGAGCGCCCCAGAAAAGTCCCATTCGCAGAACAAATCCCAGAAAGCCCCAGGAAATCCCATGAAATCCCAGAGTAACTTGCAGAACAAATCCCAGGAAAGCCCGGTAAGAGCCCAGCAACTCCCCGACTCCTAGGATGACGAGCAGTCCTTCACCGACGCAGCGCTGGAGGGCATGGTGCCTTGGGAAGCCGGCAACGCGCGGTATCTCATCGCCACCACCGGAGCCAAGGCCAGGTTCATGGGGCCCAATGGGTTTGGAGCTCGGTTTGGGGCTTGGTTTGAACCCATTTACCCTCCAGAACCGGGGGGTTAAATCACCATACCATACCAATCCAAACCGCCAACTCGGGGCTATATACCTGAAGATGTGTTTTGTTTTGTTTTTTTGGCAATTTTGCGGCCAGTTTTACTGTGGCTATGAGTAGTGTCCCAAAGAACTACTGCGGGGTCCTTCGGGCATTTCTCCAGAGTTCCCTGACCGGGGCCATTCCTTTGCTATTTGGTTCTGGTTTAGCTTTACTTGGTGGTTTGGATTGGTGTTTGGGATTGATCCCCAGACTTGGAGATGGTGCCACTACCCCAAACCGCCCAGAAGTTCTATGGGATACAGCCACGAAATTTGCCACTGAATGGTATCTACCTGATTTTCCTTTGGGGGTAGCGGTTTGGGGGTGGTGGAAGCCAACCTTCACACAGTTGCTTGACTTATGTCTTGACTTGTTGGTGGATTTGCCTTATACTTTTGGAAACATGTTTTCTAGCCCACAACCATGGCCAAATGCCACAGATATGTGTTGTTTCCTTCAACTTGTTCGGGGAGCTCCAGTCGTTGCTTGCGCTTTGTTCGCCCCAGTTTTTGGAGTGTTCACCTTTTTTCAGGAGGGGGTTCGCCATTAAAATGCACTACCAGCAACCAGGGCGGTTTTGCTTGTTTTTGACTTGTTTTTTTTTTTGTTATTTTGTTGGAGAGTCGTCAACTACACAAAAGGTGCCCTTTCTTTTCCACTTCCACAACCAGTGCAAGTCTGAGGAATCTCAATGCAACTTGGGTTGAAGATGTGAGTAATCTTTGTTTTTGCGGGGGAGCCATGGGCCATTGGCCATGTGATGTGTTTTGCCGGCGGAAAAAGACATCAGGCTAACCCAAGCTGGTGGTTTCGATGCGTGTGTCTGTGTCCGTGTCCGTGTCCGTGTGTGTGTATGTGTGTCTGGGTCTGTGTTTGTCTTTGTGCTGTGTTGTTGGCGTAAACAGAAACCACAAGGAACGACGCTCTTTTTACGGCCCCCTAGTTTGATAACCTGCCCTGAGAGGTGGTCACACCCAAGATTTTTGCCTCCGCGGTGCAGAACCGATCCGTCCTGCCCTTCGAGCCCGATTGGCACCCTGGCGAAAAATGAACGGCGTTAGCCCGGCGCCGTTGTGCGCCTTTTTGAAGGGCGATCTTGGCGAACGGTCAAATTGGGCGTGTGTCACCGAAGAGGGGCCCAACAAATTGTGGTTTTCGTTTGGACTTCCGTTCACCAAAGTGCACTTTCAATAAAGCACGAGCCCGATTGGAAGGAGCTCACCGATTCGGGCCGCAATTAGACCATCCCTTGTTTGGGGTGGCTTTTGCATAGATGCCACGTTCAACCCAAAAGGGACATTTCTTCAGAAAGAAGGAAACCAAACAGCCAAGGACCCTCTCAAGAAAGACAGACCTCATGTTCAACCCACCAAAAGGGCTGCTCTCACAAACGGACGCCCGTGCGGGCTCGGCTAGAGTCCCACCCCACCGAAAGGGGCATTTCCCTTGGTTTTCTTTGGGTATGCGTGTGTGTTTTTTTGTGTTTTTTCGTTGTTTGTTTTTCTCTTTTGTTTTTCTTTTTTTTTTTAAAGACCCTTTTTGGGGCTTGGGTTAAATGAAACAAAGGGAAAACCGATCATCTTGGGGTCCCATGTTTTTTGATACATGTCCACCATGCGGGTACGCTTTTGAGGAAGCTCTTCCTCCACCTCCTCGGGTTTGGCAACGATATCATCGCACCCCGGCCGAGTGCTTTGGGTTCTTTGGGTCCCGGTTTCGGTGCGGAGGGCTGAAAACACTGCGCGTTTCGTGTGTGTGCTTTTCCTTTCGTGTGCGTTGCTGTTTTCCCAAAAAGGAAAGGGAACCAGTACAGACCTCCAAGGTCTCTTTGCGAACAGTCAACCGCCCAAAGGCACAAAAGAAGTTTGATGTTCTGTTTGTTCCCTTTATCCTATTGCTGGGCAAATTGGAATCAGCAAGACAAGATTCCGGGCCTCGGAATTCCCTTGTCTTCAATTTGCCCCATATTTTTTTGCAATGTTGCGTTTCCAAAGGTTCGATATTTGCCATTTTATTTGTTCCATATTGCTATTAAAAAAATCTGGACCAGAATCCAACCGCCGATGATGTCTAGCTGGGGCCAAGAGCTGAGCTTGAATCCAAATAGCGTTTAATATTTCTGCAAGCAAGACACACGGTGAGCCCAGTGTTCTGCAACCCGACAAGTGTACTTCAGCGCTCGCCTCAGTTTACATAGTTTACAAGCTTGACTCGAACTTGGGAAGGTCATTTTGGTAGGCTTGGTTACTTCGGTGGCCAACCCACTTAGGCAGTCTTTGCCCCCACGCATTTTTCCCGCTTGGAGAGGTTGAGACACATCGAGTTCAGCCGACATGGAACCAAACAAACGCATGCCGCTAGTAGAGAGAGAGAGAGAGAGATCTTGTCCAGGGACTTTTTCTTTGAATCCAGTATTGTCATGCATTGTCATGCACCAGAGAGGGTGATACTAGGTAGAGCATCCAAAGTATATTAGCCTATGGCCATGTACAGCCTAATGTACAGGTGGTATGTCCCCAGACAGCGGTATGGCTTCCCTGAAAATTGGGCCATATTGGGCCTACAATTCAGGGGATGGGTCTTCAATTGCTCGAAGTGAAAGATTCTGATGATTCACCATTTGCGATCCGCACTTTGGTGTTCAAACGAGGCTATTTGCCACAGCTTGGTTTGTGTCGTTGCTTGCAGTATTTTTTTTGAGATGGGCCAACTCAGGTCTAATGAATTTACCGTGCGCGGAAATGCTGTTGAAACAAGCCGTGGCCCGGGTCCGCTCGGGGGGACCAAAAGGAGCTGCCCATTCTAGCATGCTTAGACATGGGTATGTGATGTGTATTTTAATATGTATAAGAAGGTGACAACTGGTGACAACGGCGCATTGTCTAGCACCTACCTGCTTGCGCAAACACCAAGCTTCTATTCAATAGCTCTTAAACCTGCCTCTGCCCCGCTTGCTCGGCTTGAGCAAACGCCACATCAAGCCAGAGGGAATCAGACCCAAAGACAAGCAACGCCAAACAAAGCCAATGCGGGACAAAGCCAAAGCGGGACAACGCCAAATAAAGCGAAATGACACCCAACACCGCCAAAGCCAAAGTAAGGCAGCTGCAGACAAGCTAGGCCAACGTCGATGTCAACAACACGCGCCAAGCTGAGCTTTGCCTGAGGCCTACACCCAACGCCAGTGGAATTTGGGGTGCAAGGCTGGGACTTGTGCACGCATTAAACCCAGGGGGCCTCTTCTCTTGGTCGTTTCGACTGGTTCACTCCGACATCCAAGAATCTCAGGGCCTCAATGGGCGGAAAAGGGGAAGCAATTGGCTCAAGCGCGATCCGAGGAAGCTCAGCCGGGCCCCAGAACCTTCACCTGAGTCACCTGAGAGGGTAAGAGTCGCATGTAGGACCTGGGATTTGGGATGTTAGACAAGTAGCTCTAAATGAGGCATTTAAGATCCACATGGAACACACAGCTAAGATCTACAAGGATCTAATATCTACACCCCATATATAATCAATTGAGATATGGCAGCTCCCCCCAAAAAAAAGAAAGAAAAAAGAAGCCTCCAAGACCATTTGCTAGAGTTATGATATACGGTGCCTACAAATAAATACCTGGAGGGCCGGCCGAGGCTGAAGGTATCGCAGGCAGTATTTGTATTATTTTTATTTGATGCTTGCTTAGCACTGCCCGGACCGGGCCGCTCGGCTCTGGAGCTAGTAAATACCAGTTGGCCTATTTGAGCATCCAGGTGTTTGTTTGTGGGCGGCCTATATTTATTGCGAAGACTGTAAACATGAATTAGGGGTCTTGGTGTCCCCTGTTAAAATCCGGAAGACGGCAGGGTCGAATCATAAGGGAATCTGTTTGACAAACCCCCACAAGGGACAGTTCCCTTTACGCGAAGGATGACTAAACCGGACTAAACCAACATGGGTTGGAACGCCATCTTGCAGCCAATCAACTTTCATGGTTTGTTTGGGCATCCGGACCATCTCCCAAAGAAACCAGCTCCAGGAAATACAAGTTCGCCAAACAGGCAGAAGATACGCCCGAAACCATGCCAGGCAAACCAGATCCTCGGCCCAAGGACTCGCCCGATCGCAGGCCTTGGCGTGCAGTCCGGGCATCAAGGACCGCCCGGTGCGGCGAATGGAGCTGCCCGGAGGCACGGAGTCGGAACGAGTCCTGCAGGGTGGCTCGGTTTTGGGAGGGTGCCTTACTACGGTTGGTTGGTGGGCTGGCTGGTTGGTTGGCTGGTTGCTTGGTTGGCTTGGTTGGCTGGTTGGCTGGTTGCTTGGTTGCTTGAGTGCTTGGTTGCTTGGTTGCTTGGTTGCTGGGTTGGTTGGGTTGGCTGGGTTGACTGGTTGGCTGTTTGCTTGGTTGCTTGGGCTGCTTGGGTGCTTGGTTGCTTGGTTGCTTGGTTGCTGGGTTGGCTGGGTTGGCTGGGTTGGCTGGTTGGCTGATTGCTTCGTGGCTTATTGGTGGGTCAGTGGGTTGGTTGGTTGGTTTTCTGGCTGGCTGGCTGGCTGGGCTGGGCTGGGCTGGGCTGGGCTGGCTGGCTGGCTGGCTGGCTGGCTGGCTGGCTGGCTGGCTGGCTGGCTGCTTGGTTGGTTGGGTTGTGCAATAGAAGAAAGAGCAAAGCGACAGGAAAGCCATCCATGTCTTCTTGAGGGGGAATATGTTCAACGCGGTCGATTCCGTCAATTTTGCAAGCAAGCACAGACCATGGTGAATCATAGGATTTGCTTGTTCTCTACTAAGTAGAGTCTACTTGGGACAGTCAGGGAAATACTTGTGCCTGGAGTGTGTTGTGTGTTTTAGACCACCTTCTTCAAAGAAATAAGTCAATAGCCCCCTATTTGTTACACGCCCTCCAACAACGAACATTGACCGATTCAGAAACTTGCCCCGATTCAGACACTTCGATTCAGAAACTTGGGTTTTCGATTCGGACACCGGGTTTCAGCGAATTGGACACTTGGTTGGCCCAACTTCAGTCACCTGAGTGCCACCAATTTGGAAACTTGGGTGCCGCCACGTTCAGTGACCACTTGCTCAAGTGCACCCTCACAGCACTGCGCATGTCCTTAGTCCATATCTGCTCAAGTGCACCTGCGCAGAGCTGCGTATCTACCTGCCAGATGATAAGAACAGTGCACCCGCGCAGCAACGAGTATCTGCCTGCCAGATGATACAAACACCTGCTCCCGCGCGCAAGAGGGCGAACCACGTGGTCAGTTGTTTGGAATCAACATATTCCACTGACCTTTCCGAACGCCCAGCATGTTTCTAAATCCATCTCTCCGACCGATGAGAATCCAATGCTTTCAATCATTGTCCACGACGTGTAGGCCTACGAGTTGTCGTCAATCCAAGTTTCAGGCGTTTCCCAAACGGAGCGCCAAGTTTCCGAATCCGTGCGTGACCGTGTGACAACACAGGGGATGAAATGGGCCGCTGCACACGAGGATTGGGACCATCCCTAAACCTGTACTACTGTAGGGCGGGGTTTCTCTTAGCTGATGTTGAGCACCCGCTGGGTTCCGCCAAAAAAAAAAACACCCTCCAAAACACTGTCAAAAAGGGGTAAATATACTACATGTAGGGCCCAAAGGACTAGACTATGTTGCGGGGAACTTGATGACCAAATTAAAGGCGTCATTTGAAGACCCTTGTTCACTCTGATATTTGCTCTGCCTAAGCCCCTTAGATTAACCCTCATAGTACCCCCGCCATGTATTGATTTGTACCCTTATTGAGGTGCCTTAGTTCTCTCAAATTTCAAGCCAGGAAAATGGGGTACAGTATGTTTAACCTCCACCGTGGGCTGGTTGTGTCTGGGTACATTACATAGCTGATATTTGGTGTGACCTTCGAGCTTTCGCTCAGGGGCTTGTAGCAGCTTAGTCTTAGATCTTTCATAGCCAGAGGAATGTACCCACCCCCAAAAAAGGTATGGTTGAAACCAATTCCCCAACCAAGGTACCCCGAAGCAGACGCGCCCAGCTGAAGCCCTCCTTGTGTCAGCACCAGTGGGGGTTGTGGGTTGCAGGCCGCAAATGTCAGCGAGCCTTGCGGCGTCTTGGCGGGGATGCGCCCAAGACCTTCGTGCCCCGGCGATGTCAGAAGGCTAGCAGTGGCTTATTTTGGTTCTTCGTGCTGGTTGATTTCTTCAATTTTGATGTTGATTGTTTTTTTAGTCTAGCTATTTTGGTGATGCATTTTCGTTTGCATATGTTGGTTCAATTAGTTCGGCGGGTTTATTCTGGCGTTTTCTTTTTTGGGGCTTCTTTTGGTTGTTTATTAATGTTGGACGGCTTATGTCGCTTGTTTATTCTGGCTGGCTTATTTCGGGTTTGACGAGGGTCGACTTTTACCCTTGTGCAACCGTACATGGGTTCCCCTGGCGGGTTGTATCCCAATTCAAAGAACACTAAACCCCCAGACAGGTCCTTGAAGCGAAGACCTTCTGATTCGTGGGGTTTTGACTCAAGTCAGCCAACCGCCAAGCTGTTCAAAAGCAGGCAACAGGGAAAGCCACCTGTAGATGACTGGGAGGGAAAACCACTCCCTTCCCCCCAACCAGCACTGTTCGAGGGCTATACCGCAGACGTGCTGTCGGATCTCACCAGCGATCCGTTGGCGGCGTTTGGCCTGGGTGACGCTTTGGCAGCGAAGAACCGACCCTCGGCTTACCGACGGACGGCCGATGGCCTCCAACGGGCAAGGCCCGAACGTCTGCCAGGGTTATTGGGCGGGTTCAATCGCAATTTTGCGGCTTAGGGCTTTGGCACTGTCTTCTAGCCTGTTTCCCCACCAGGCCTTGAGGAAACCCCAAATTTCGAGAAAAACAGGAATAAATGAGCGGTACATAAGTGCTTTGGGCTCGTGGTTTAGGCGAAAAACGGGGCTGATTGATGCCATAGACGACATCAAAAACTGACCGCTGCCCTTTTTGAGGCTTGTTGGGGTTTACCTCTAAATGAGGACTCCCCCAAAATGGCAACGGTGTCCTTTTGATGCATTTGAATACCAACCAAACGGGGTCCTGCCAAAAGGAGTTGAATGCTATCAGGGCCTTTCAATGTGTGAGTGAGGGTTGGGAGAAGAATGTGTGTACTCTCCCGCAGATTAACATGGGGCCAGAAACGGAGTCCGCCGAAAGGAGGTTTCTCGAAGCACGTTTTGGGCTTGATAGACCAGTCATGAGCTCCAAGAAGATGTTAGATAAGCATATGGGTTCTCAAGGGGACGTGTGGTTGGTTCCCTTAGTCATTTGGCAGGCCTTCCAGCGGTCTCACAGCTGGACAATCAACACTGAAGGGGCCCATGACCATGGCGGATTTTTTGACCCCGAAAAGCAACCCCATGCATGCAAAGTCAACCAAGAGGAAGCAAGGCCTCTTTTGGGCGAAGGGCTGACCCCGGCCTCTGTGAGCCTCCTCAAAAGACTATGGGTGTGTGTGTGTGTGTGCGTGTTGTTGGCCGGGGTACCCTTAAGGGTTGGTCAGGGAAATCAAACGGACAACCACCCATTTTGAGGGTTGACACATACCCACATGGGAGTTTCTCAAAGCAAAATTCCCACATGGCGAGTTTCCGTGTGGGTTCCTCCCGTCGAAACAGCTCGAGGCCTCGGGCGTGTGCCGAATGGTTTCCAATGCGATGGCACCTTGACGGTGCTGCGACGGAGGCCCTCGTCGAGGGGGGCCGGGGCCCAAGTTGACGTAAGCACAGACCTCACATAGGTTCCCATGTGCGTCAGTTTTTCTTTGAGGGTTCCCTTTTAAAGGGAAAAAGGACGCCCACCATTATTATTTTTTTGTGAACACTCATCATTTGCCGGAGCTCTGAGCTCGCGACGTGAGAACGCGCAGAACATGCATCGGAAGCCCACAAAACAACAGCTGACCCATGTCGTTATGAACTCAAGTTGAAGCCACCTCAAAGTGGTCGGTGATGATCTAGGGCCCCCTACTAGACTACTGGAAGTGGATGCCAAACAAGTTGCAGGTAAGGGAGCAAGGAAGTCGATTCCCCAATTTACCGCAATTTACCATGGTTGTGTGGTTGACTACAGTTGGTTTACTTGCCATATGTTCTGCCATCCGCTGTAGGTTGTCATGCGGCTGTGAATTTTCGGGAACCACCTCAAAAGCGGGTGGCGGACCCGCTCTTTTTTACCCCACCGAAGTCTGATGTCCATCAACGATGTCCGAAGTCTGCTGGCTTCCCTTTGATCTTCCGGGTCCCCTTCCAGTGTCTTCGGATTTTGGGAGGGGTATGCCACACATCCAGAAAAGGTGGCAAACAGATCACTCTGCTTCATGTCAAGAAACCTCTTGTTTCAATCATGTTGTTTTTCTCCGGCCCCCCCGCGTTTGGTGGCCATTCATTTGGGGGCCCTTAAGGGCCCAACGGATTTTCTGCGGGTTTCTGAGGCGAAGTTTCTGAAGCTGCACAAGCTAGTGGACAAGGCGGCGCAGACGGCCGCCACCGCCTGTGGAGCCAGAATTGAGCCCCCTGGCATCCCCTCAGTTGGCCGGGCGGTTTTTTGGGCGGAAACGGCGGCAACGACATATCCCCTTTTGTGCTGATTAGGGACGTATTTGTGTTTGTGTGCTGTTTCTTGCGGGCAAAACATGGTGGTAGTTTGTCTCAGCTTGACAAGGCGAGTTGGCCTTTGAAGCTAGTTTAAGGCAAGTCGGGGTCCCAAGAAGGTAAATCTTTGATGTCCATGTCCTCTTGCAATAGGTCAGAACCTGTGTTTATGGCTGGTGCTGGATCCTGAATCGGGAGTTCCCGCAAAAGGAATCCCACAGGGGATGGGTTCAAGTCTCTTCCAGCCCCAAAAACAACCCTCACCCCTCAAACTGCCACGTCGCGCCTAGTCCAGGGCTTTGGCCGCTTTTTGGAGAGGTATGTCTTGAGGATGTGTCCCGAAGACTATCCCTTTGGAGGTTTCCCTATTTGGAGACAACCCCATCTGAATGTATTGATTTTCTTCGGATGGTAATCTTTCGGTTGGTTCACTGACAACCCAGGGCAACCCACAGTTAGGTTGATCGCACGTGGCAAGACATTGGAACAAGGGTAAATGTTCATCATAATATTGTGGGCTTGCAAAAAGAAGAGGGGACCCTCAAACTGTCGACGGCTTCCTTTTGGCGTTCCATTCGCCCTACAAAAAAGTGGGATCTTTTTATACTTGATTTTTCAATTTCAGGTTCACTGTGGACCAGAATCCATCATGTTATGTTTGGTGGGGAAGCTGAGGCAGAAAGGGGCTCAGCTTAAACGGTGCCGAGGACTTGCGGAGGCTTTGTGTTTGCGCACGTGGAAGAAGGAGCAGCCGCTCCTGAGATCGAGCTCGTGAGCAAGTCGGAGCCGCGCGATTCGTTTTTCCCAGTTGCTCCTGAGATCGAGCCCGTGAGCAAGTCGGAGCCGCGCGATTCGTTTTTCCCAGCTGCTCCTGAGATCAAGCCCGTGAGCAAGTCGGGGCCGCGCGATTCGTTCTTCCCAGATAGCTGAAAGCTACAGGGGTTCTAACTTCGAAGAAAGAGGGGAAAGTGAGTTGCGAGATTGACAGCCGGGTCCCATTATGATATGTTTGGTTTCATTTAGAATTCTGTGGCTGTTTGAAGATCTCTTTAATAGCATGTGTTTCTACTAAACTAAGCACTGCAATTCTGAGAGTTAGTCTGGGCAGTACTAAATTTAGAAATTTAGACTTGGAAATATTGATCTGAGACTAAGTCTTGGCAATACTAAATTGCGCTTTGGCAATACTAAAGCAAGTACCCAGACCCCCAGTTGTCCACTAAAGAGACCGAGGGTGACTGTTTCAACTGTTGCGGGGGACTATGAAAGCAGCCGCAACATTCAAGCCGAAAGCCAGACAACACGGTCCATCATAAAGGCAGGGACCCGTGCCTACCTCCAACAGAATCGAGGTTTCCTGTCTTCGTAGCAACCCTGTTGTCTTTGTGTGTTCCTTTTCAAGATCGTCGTGGAGGGTATCCGTGGTCTCTCCCCAACCGAGTGAACCAGTCGAGAACATTTTGCAGACCCTACGAGACAGCTGCGCCGAAAATAGCCGCGTTTGTCCGAAAGCTGTCTTCAGGGCATCGAGGGAAGAACTGGCAATAATTTCAACTGCCCTGGCTGGGTTGTTGAACAATTTTCATATCCTTCTCCTGGTTTCGGCAAGGATTTGGTGCGGATGTCGGATGAGAATTGACCAAGCCTCCATATTCAACAGCTTTGCTTGAAGTCGCTTGCAACCAAAGTCCAAGCTGTTAATTTCAACTTTGCGACATGTTGGAAGGCCTGCGACATGTTGGAAGGCCTGCCACATGTTGTCCAACCTCCACACTAGATCTTCAGATGAGCCACCTAAATAAGTGAAGGTTAGGGGACACGCCCCTTGCCATAAATGAGTTTGATTCATTTACATGGTATTTGGGTGTACCCCGTTACCAGGTTTTGATTCTGACTATGGGCATGAGCTCACGGATTTCTTGCTTTGCAAATCAGAGCCGACTCTCTCGAGCTCAAAGGGAGAACAACCAGTTCAGGAAAAAATCCTGGATCAGTGGGTATTTCAGGATTCCTCGACATCCCGTTTGCTTCTTTTGTTTTTCTTATTTGGGGAATGGTCAGGGAAACCCCTTCAAATTGAGCATTTCTATTGTCCAGGGCCGATGCCCCAATGAAACCGATTCCCCACTCCCAATAGGGATGAAACTATGTCAGGAGTCCCACTCCTTGTGCGTTTGGTTTCTTCGATTTTCTGGAAAGTCATGTGAGTGGACGTCAAGAATGGTTGGTGTTCCTTTTGGTGTCCCATAAAAGCCATCCGAAAGGGTACCCTCAAAGAAAGTAACTTCCCCCCAGCCCAGGGTTTCGGTGGCACCCTCATGGCCTTAACTTAGTTCCTCAAACCTGGCTGCAGCCCTTCGGTCTCCGAATGGGATCCACCGAATTCAGCCTGTGCTTCAGCAAAAGTCGCTCCTTTCGGCCAGACACCTCTGAGCGCCTTTGCCGAGCTGCAGGCTATGGGTCCGTGTTGGTCACTTGGGACCTTTTTTCGTTCGCTCCAAAAAGGGGCACCGAGTTGGAGACGCACCCAATTGGGTGTGGCTCAAAATTAAACAGGTGGTCCATGTTTCCACATACCAGGGTTCCATTTTGGTACCGGTTGTTTGAGCCACAGCCATTTCAGCAACATATACTTCCAGGGTGTCGGTTTTGGGTGGGCAATCGCTTTTGGTTGGGCAGTGGTAGTCCCCTATCGGTTGGATGGGGTAAAGTTGACAGCTGCGGATTTGGAACTTTTCACAATAGCCGCGCCCCATACCCCTGTGGGGCTGTGTTAGACGAGCCAATCTCACCCTTGGGGGGGGGGGGGGGTTCTGCTACCTGGTTTATTGAAAATAACAGCAAGGCCTACATTAGCCTGCACAAGCGTCTCAGTAGAACCGAAAGTCAAAATGGTTTGAGCGCTGCTTATTTTTGCGGTTTGTAAGAATGGTGAGTCGATCCCTCAATGGCCCACATGAATGTTTTCAAAGTCGTGGAATCCCCCTGCTTCCCCTTCGTAAAGCCGCAGAAACGTCTGGCTCCCTCAGCGAGGCAGTGCTACGGAGGCTTGATGTTTCATCTATATCAAACACATATTTTTCTGGGCGTTTATGCAGGGACGGGCAGTTCTCGCGGAAGGATCTTCAACCAAAACCGTTCCGTTTGAGGGAACCAAAACCGTTGACATGTTTGTTACTGGCAAGATGCCTATGCAGGTGAATAAAAGCCCAGCTACAATTGTGTACGGTACGAAGAAAAAGCGCAATTAAAATTGACCCCCCGCACTGGAATGGCGGAAAGGGCTTTTTCCGGCTTTGCTCGCATGGCACATTTGCATCAGCAGTACCAATGGTGTTAAACAATCTTTCCAAAATATAGGTCGAGTAAATATCGGTGTCAGGGGTAGCTGCATTTCAATCCCTGTCAGATGGCTAAACATCATTTGGTGATGAAGAAAACTCGGGAGCCCTGTCACTGTCGATGGGTACCCTCCCTCCAACCATGAAAGCTGACCATTCGGGGCTTTGGAACAATTTTCCTGGGGAGGCCTTTGGAAAGGGGATATCAATCAGGGCGTTTCTTGGTGCGCTTCTGGCAATGCAAGCATTTATCTCAAGACCATTGACATGGGAAGCTATCGGCACTTCACCAAGTTCCTGCTAGTGAGTGGGCATTTGGGGGCTAAAACGGCTTGTGGGGCATTTTGCAGGTCGTTTTGGCCCAGATCTTGAGACTGTTTGCAGTTTGGCGTGGCACGTCGGTCGACAGCCTGTTGCGCTTGCCAAGTCCTTGGCTCGAAAATCGTACTTTTCGGGAAGCTTCGTCATGTTGGCAGCGGAAGCATCGCGTCCTTGGTACTGTATGTTCCTTGTTGCAAGGGTGAAACATCGCGTCTCGCGTCATATCAAGGGGCTTCCACGTAGATTTTCGGGAGGGGAACATAGGCGGAACTCTTGTAGGGTTCTTTGGGGAGTCATACTATCCCTTGAGGATTCTATGAGGTGTGCTGAAATGGGAACCCCACGTTGGACAATGGAAAAACCACAAGCAATTCCAACTATGCGAGCAGTTCTGCCGACCTCACCTACCGGAGGGTTGGCCTCTTGCTTGAGGTTTGTGAATTGTAAGTCACCACCCAGAATGTTTCGGGTCCCCGCCCAAAAGTGTCTCCCACAGTAAATGGGTTCCAGGCTTAGACGAGCTGCGAGTGGATTGGCTGCTGGGGGATGCCCCGCACTCAGAACAGGAACCCAACGCTTGGGCGGCGCCAAAGTATGTGTCCCAAAAGCATCACTGGACCCTCCTTTGGATATCGGGACCTCCATTCGAAGGTTTGGGATCTCAAAAAGCTTGTCTCCCCACGTCTCCCAAAGGAATGTCAGGAATGTCGGCCAGACGGCGCTTCGACTTGTGGGCTTTCACTTGGTTGAACATTTGGATGTGTGTGTGTGTTCTTTCTTCTTCAAGGAACGAGTGTTTTTGCTTTGTATCCCCTTTTTTCAGCAACCCACAAAGCAACGCACAACGGGGCAGACCCGTGCGGTTCTTGTTCTAAATCCTCGAGGGATGTGCCTGGGGGGGGACCCTTCGCAACCCACGACTTGGTGCAATTGGTTCATTTTAACGGCCCCCCCCCCCAATAAGCCAAGGTGCCACAGCCCATTTGGGGGAATGGAGAATCGGTGAAAGGCACCATCGGGCATGGGACTTGTTGAGTGAACCTCCCTTTTGGGCTTAGCCCACTTGTCCAGGGCGAATCTACCTTTGTTTATGTTTAGTCAAGGTTCCAAAATGGTTTGTTGGGCAAGTCTACAAAGTACGGTTCAACCAGACTTTTGTTCCAGGATTCGAAATTGTTACTCAAGGTTCCGCGAACAGAGCCCCTGAGCATCTTGGGCCCTCAAAAAATGGTCCTTTTAGAGGTCCCACGCCTTCCAATGGCTTAAAAGCGATTGGCTCATGGCTTCTCGAGGCCAAGTGGGGCCCGCGGATTGGAGAGCTCACCTACGTGGGCGCAGGCGCGGGGTCCGCACGGGGAGCAGGAAACGGGACGGAACTTGTTTGTCACTCACAGGGAAACCCAAAGCAAACCAAAGATTCAGGGCTTGGGCAGCCAAACAAAGATCTGCCTGAAGGGGGCAACCAAATGCAGACCCGCGATTAGCTGGGGTTTAACGACTAAATGTTATGAAGTTAGAAGGGTGTCAAGGAGCATACAAGGTCTACTTCCACGCCCACACCCGCAACCCCCTCCACCCAACACCCGCAAACCCCTCCACCCAACTCCCCAACCCAACCCCCTCACACAACCCCCCCACACCCCGTCGCAGCAGGTTCCCGTGTGACGCCGCCCTTGGCCATGCGTCTGGCCAAAGCCTTCGCAGCGGGGCATTTGCTGCGGCTTCGGCGCCTGCGATTGGAGGAGTGGGATCAGGTGTGTTTTTATTTACACCCGTTAAAGGGTCCCGTTAAAGGGTCCCGTAAAAGGGTCATGTGTGTTGTTTTCGTGTGTGTGTGTGTGCCTTTTCAAGGCGAATGTTAGTTTTCCCAGTTTTTCCCCCCGAACCCAAACCCCCCCCCCCCCTCCTCCGCCCAGAAGGTCAAACCTTATACTAACCGCGTTCTGGGGAAAGTGGTTTGCGAGAGAAGGTGGAGCGCATGGATGCTAAGCCAGGCTGGCCAAGGCTGGTAGTATTCAACAGCATGTTTTTTTGAATGCGCGCCGTATTACTCATTGACCATTGATGTTTGTTCAATTCCCCCCTTTTTTTTTTGGGGGGGGGGGGCAAGCCTATGAACTTAGGAGGTTGAGATGCTGAGGTGTGGCGCGGCTGGAACTCAAACACGGACTTCTTAACCAAAGGTGAGATCAAGGAACTGATTGACTCAAGGAAGCTGATGATGCGCTTGCTTTGCCTCCTGCTTTTCGACTGGTGCCATCCTTGGACCTGCAGGTCCATGATGCAAGCTTGTGACAAACTGAGCGTTGCCTTGTCCAAACACTGCAGTAGCTTCCAGCCCCTTGTGCAGTTGCATTACGCTCGCGTCTGTTGCCAGTGCGTCCTCCTGCTGGAACAACTGCTTCCCGATCGTAGCCCTTTACACAACGAAACGGCACGTTTGTTTCGACCCACCCGCTTTCAAACACACATTTCCAAAACCCAGAAAAGCCCGAAATCGGCCGAAAAAGCGCGTGGCACGCGCTTCCTCTTGGCCCTTATCCCATACCGTTGCACTTGCCGCGGCGCATTGCGCAAGCAACACTAGAAGCCAACGCGACATTGGCGAGGCTTGAGCTGATGTTCGCGTCTGGTCACTCCAATTGTTGCGCAGCATCATTTGATGGAGCTTTATCCAGGAAGTAGGGGCTGGAACGCCAACAATCATCTTTTTGGCGTTGCCAAGCTTCATTTTCCAACAAGCTACGAGATTGGCGCTTCTTGTGCCAGGCTAAGATTAATCTGCAGCCATCCCAAGAAAAAAACCTTTTGGCAACCCCCACAGCCCCACAGCTAATATGGGAAGACAGTCGTGAATCGCAAAGCGCCATGAGCTTGTCAACTTTTCGGACGATGCTACGGCGTGCGCTTGGGCAGCGCCTGAGATGGCCATCGAAAAACGGAGATTTGCTGTCACGGATACTTCCAAGGTTCGAGGATGGTTGGAGGAAAATCAATTCGGAGTTGCACGGATGCCAAGCTACTGCGAACACTTCCCCAACGAGGACGGGTTCCAGGATTCTGCAGCCAGAAGCCGACGTATCAGCCTGCTGCAGCAGCGCTCACATGGGGCGATGTTGGTTGACCCGGACGGCCCTTGCTTGCAAATGGAGTTTGCGTCGCAGTTCAGCGACAACAAGCCTGGCACACGCCGTGGACGAAGGAGTTCAAGATCACAAGAAGCTACAGCCTTCTTGCGTTGCCAGCAAGAGTGGCCAACTTTATGCCCGGCTGCGCAACAAGATCTTCACGCGTGTCAAGCGCCTGCAGGCGGTGTCGTGCGAGCTCCAGCCCTTGGAGAGAGAGGGCGCGGAGCAATGGAAACATACGTACGGGCAAGAAAACTCGCACGGCCAAACCCCCTGGCTTGGGTGCCGGGTATGAAGCCAGGGTAGTGTGGCAGCCGAGGCCATTTTGCCTCAACAAAGTGCAACTCTGCTCTGGGAGTAGCATCGGCCTCTTTTATTTGCATTTCTGCGAGGGAGGTTGCTTCAAAATTTGGATTCCAACCAACTAGCTTGAGACCAATAGCAATGTCCTTTCTAAAACTTGCACAGCGCGCAAACATTGAAACAATCGCCCATATTGTTTATAGAATTCCCTTACGTAAACAGTTGCAATTTTGCGGCTCCCCGTGCCTGGCAATGCGTCGCGCTTAGGCGGAGCAAAAACGCTCATTGTCCTCGCACGTCACATTAGCGTGACAGGCCCTCCTCACATCAGCTCGCCTCACTCTCGGCCACTCTCACCTATCTTTTGCGTCGATGCACCAGCAGCCGTGGCAAGCGCTCGCCCTCGCCGTCGTCCAAAACTCCTTGAGTCGGGGATGAAGGGCTCCTTGCAGCGTAGTCCTCCTCTGCCGCGGCCTCGTATCACCTCAGCTGTTGCGCGGCCGCGCGCGGCCTCAGCCCGCCCGCTCCGCGCCTTCCTGGCTATTTTGAAAGCTTTGAGTTGGAAATAGTCCTCACGGTGGAGCAGGTGCTTCTTGACATGCTGCAAAGGTGTTTGGGGATCAGGGTTCTAGATAAAGCTTTGTCGGAGAAATGGTTCTGCCGAACGCGCCGAGCCAATTAGGGGCCTGTGGCAGAGTTTAGAGCTGCTTGAATCCAGGGGAAAACCATCATTTGTTTGTTTTGACGCATATTTCTGTGGGGGCAGGAGTCGGGGAGGTGGGTTACATCATAGAACTTTCCATAAGGCCCCCCAACCTCCAACCCCCCACGCCCAAACATGGTCCTTCCCAAAGGAGTTTGCGGGCCCCCCAAGGAGGGGCCTGAGTTCAGATGTCAGGGGGCAAACGAACCACAATCAGAACACGGGAAGATGAAGGTGGAAAAGTTCCAGCGAAGCTGTCCGCAATTATAATGTGTGATTTGGGTTTGGGCAGACCATGCCTGAGGAACCTTTAAAGGTAAACCAACAGGAGGTTGTTGGGCCCCACCCCGGGTGGTTGCTTCGTTTGACTCATAGGGTGAAAGCAACAAGACAGGCCCAACATGTGGGTTTTCCGCATTCGTTGAGCGCTGCTTGCGCCTGGAAAGGGCAACCCTTCTGACTATGGCAAGACTCAGCTTACCGTTTTGCCTTTTGTGTGTTTCATTGTTTAACCTTCGAACAGAGAAAAGGTTGTGTTGCGGGGGTCTAAGTCTGGCCCAGGCACGGGCTTATAGGGATCACCCCGGCCCAGCCCGAACCTTGTGCGAATCAATGAAATCATCTTGTTTGTTGGTGGTTGGCAATGGAAACCCAGGATTTATAAATATTGCCCAGGATAAGTTTCATCCGAGGGGTGTTTGATGAGTTGCACCCTTCCCCTTAGTCCACCAAGTTAAGCAATCCGAGTCAATGAGCTGGTGGATGGAGACAATCCGCATCAGTTGGTAATTGGATTAGGTGGTTCTTCCCGATATTTGCAGGGTTTCAGACAGCCAAAGGTGCTAAGCGGAGTTTGTTTAGCGGGATGTGTGTTTTGGGACCGCAGCACAGCATCCTTGAGTTCGAATGGGCAAACAAGAACCATGAGATGTTTGGGCAATCCGCCAATCCACTCAAAGTAAGTGTGAAGTTAGACTGTCTGATTTTGGAGTCCGGCAGTTGTTGGGGGGCTGTACCTAACAGAATCAGGGGACTCTAAGCTAACAGGCTGCACTAGCACCCGAGGGCAATAAGCGTCACGCCGCCACCCCATCCCGCTTTTGAAGCAGTGGTTTGAATGGAGAAAACCGTTTGAAGGAGTACTCCCCCTCCAACTAACATGGCACCAGACATGGGGTCCCTTGAAGAGGAAACCAATCTTCCAGGTACCCTCCCAGAGGTGCCACGTTAGTGGAAGGGAGGGTAACCCCCCGCATGCCTCTGCAAGAACCGCGTCCGTCGCGATTCGCAGGAGGACTCCGACGCTGAGCCACTTTGGCCGCTCACGGCAGAGAGGGGCAAGAAGCTGGCAGTGAAGCTCGAAAACAGACCGAGGACTTCCATTTCAGATACGGTCTCTGAAAATATGGGGAGGTTGACGATGTGTCAATATGTGTACGGTTCACCAAGTACATGTTTTGTTTGGTCTGCAAAAGCTGAGGTAGTTTTGCACATATATAAGCGGCATACTGTCTTACAGGCTTGGCTACGCCTCCAAGGCCCATTCTGAAAATGCCCGTGCGACGCGGTCTGTCAGAGAGGGCCAAAATCTATAGGACCTAGGACCAGGACCTGCGCAACGCGAACGTATTCGACTTCCGAGGTGGCAACGAGGACATGCACCACCGCTTGCTCGAGGCGGGGGGTGAGCTGACTCTAAATTCAAGATGCAGGGAAGCCCTGAGTAATAGCCCCAGCAAATAGGTCCCTCCTGTATGTAGTGGCAGATCCCGCGTAGTGGCCGTAACTGGGGATACTCGGGACCTGAGTAGGGTGGTCATCCAAGTAGAAAGACCCACTGTTGACCCTTGGATGTTTCTGAAACCTGGGTCAAAAATTGCTTGGGCCCAAAGGTGCAAAGGTTTGTTTTCCAGGGAGAACGGGAGAAGCGGGAGCTCCGAGTCATGGGGCCTGTCCCTTTGTCGCTTTGGTTTCGATCCCAAAAAACGCCAACACCCTCGTCACACAATCGACTAGACGACTGACAATTGTTTGGGCCCGCGGTCGCTTGATTTGTTGAGACCCCCGCCGGGCGATTTGAATCACGCAAATCGAATTGGCAACTCACGAAAGAAGGAGAGGTCCGAACACGTCCAGCGCGCCCTTCTGGGCCAAGTATCATCGAGTGGCTCTCGTGAGTGCATCATTCAATGTTGTCATGTGGGTTAGTTTGCAAGAAAAGAAAAGGCCCTGGTGGCAGGGCCCTGGTGGCATACTCTGAAAGTTGCCGAATGCAAAGCTCTAGCAACTGGTTGGGCCTCTCAACATTGGGATGCGAAACTAAGGCGCGATTCTGCTTGCACATCGTTCCTCGCCATTAGGGATTGCGTCGTCAATTTAACCATAAAAGGCGAACAAATTGAATTCCCCAGTTTTTGAAACACACACCCTTGTCCCAGTGTAGGCAGTAAGTTCCCTAAGCCAAGGCGTTTATTCTTGCAATTAGAGGCTGACTGTGCGGATCCATATTTGAACATGACAACCTTGTTCACTGGTTTCCCACAATTAAATACTCATGTAATAATCAGTAGTGCATTAATCCATACGCAAACAGAACATGCTGTGAGTTTGCTTCTAAACTCGGGATCCCGAAACGCCCTCAAAGGATACGCCGCATGTTCATTCAGCCGAACTTTGGGCACTTCCCACGTAGGTGGCGCAGGAGAAATCGGCGCAGCTGGCCCAAGTCGTTACCAAGGCTTGGATTCCAGTGAGCCGCTGACCGAGCCTGACCTCTGCTCTCTCCTTCCCCGTTGTTCTCCCAAGGCTACTGGAGGTACTCTGGGTGCTGGCTTGTTGGCAGCACTGGAATGACGTTTGGAAGCAATCCTTACTTCTGACATGGCTAATCCAGTTCCGGTTGGACATGTTTAAAGTTTATAGGATTCATTTGGAAGAAAGTAAAGTCCTCTTAAGACTTGGAAAATGTCTCATTGCCCCAACTGGTTGGCTGACTCCTCTTGAAGATGTTTGATGCGGAATTAGCGCCTGGTTGATTGATCGGGGTGGAATGCGGATCACTTTGAGGGGAGCCCTAGGCCAGCTTGATGAATCCGGAGTCGGCATGCCAGACTTTCTCGGGTGGCAAAAGGAACTCAGCCACTTCTCGGACTACTCTCCTGTTGAGACCCCCCCACGCCGCTCTGAGTTGAGTCCTATTTCGGCAAGGGAGCTGTCCAGACATGCAAATCAGGAGAGCCTCTCCGGTTGAGCTATAAGGAAAGGAGTCGTGAAGTCGTTAAAGTTGTGCTCAGCGGGATTCAAGTGTGTCACCCATTGGTTCGTCACTTTCTCATGGGCCGGGTTTCAGTGTCACCTTCGTCCCGAAGTGGATGCCCCTCAGGGAAAAACCGGTGGATGCTCTGATTGCAAGTAAACCAACCGTACTCAGCCACGAAATCGGTGGGTAAATTGTGCATCCACCGTATCTTAATCAAAAGGTTGGCACCCATGTTGCCATGGGATTCCAACCCCCGTCGCTCCTTTGCTAGTTTCCTCAATCTCGGGCCTTATTTTGGCCTTACTCAGGGGAAATCAGGTGAAGGGGAGCCAGTGGGGGCTCGGGGGGCTCGGGAGGGTTGATGGGAGTTTGGGGTGCCCGGGATCCCACGATCGGCAGGTGAAAGACTTGCCCAAGGAGGCGCTTCCAGGATCCTTCACGCCAGAGATGAGGCTGGCGGGCATGGGGTGATGTCTAAACTCCTCCCCTTTCGGACCCATGTTGAGTGAGTTAGAGCTTTCTTTGCAAGCTTGTGCTGACGCCGTCTCATGTTTAATCACCTGAAGCCTTCTCTTTTGTACCCCATCCCCTGAGTTGATTCATATGAGGGGCGTGTTTGCTTCCACGCATGACTGTCCTATGATGATGTAATTTGTATCCGCCACCGCCAGGCAATACGCCGAAGCAGAAGCCGGGGACTCGGGGCGGAATGATGCGGCGTGCGGCGCGTTCCGGCTGCTGGTTTTGCCTTCAGGTGTCTTCCCTGATCTTAACCACCCAAAAATATGTGAGGGGTGTATTGTTTAGTAAAAAAAACAAAAACTAACCCAACTAGAAATCTTTGATTTAAGTTTAGTCTTCGGAGATCCCTTATGTCCAAAACTGCCTGTTTTGCTGCGACGATAAGGAGTAAAACGAGATAAAGATCGTGGGCTGTTTCCCCTTCAAATCTCGACCACTCCAAAACGACGACCACTCCGAAAAACACATTGCTTTCTCCCCTTCAAAAGAGAGCAACGGGTGTCGTTTGCCCATGCGAAACCGGGCAAGTAGTTCCGCCCTCTCCGGGCATGTCCTCCACAGGTTTGTGTCAGATGTGCCTGAGAGACACCCCGTGCTTTGCTGGCTCTCAGGGGAATGACCCCTCGATCGGTCTTTCTACAGACTCCCACACCCCCAGTCCAATCATGTGGGTGTGTCTGTTTAGGGGACCCTCCAAAATTATGGTTGTGCTTTTGGTTTCCGCTTAAAAGCACCAAAAACAAATGACTCATCCATTTAGAAGTCATGGACCTCTTAGGGAATTCTCATCGGTATGCGGTGCTTACTACTGGTTAACAAAGTTGTGCACCAGTTGGTAGATGGTTTACCCCTGTATTTATAGGTGTTTATCCATCGCAACTGGCGCGAAGTGGGTTTTGTCCAATATTGATAGGACAAAGGTTCGAGCCGGTTAAACCTGTCATCAACGATTCAGCATATTTTGTTTTGGCTGTGTACACTTCTGGCTATGTCCACATGCTGTGTCAAAAGACCCCTGCAGAGTAGTTGCGGATCTGCATGCTTGCAATCGGAATGCAGCTGAGTTGCAGGGTTAGCGCGCAAACATCTTCCACTAAGGTGACTTGAATCCACTGATTGCCTCTTGCTTCACCGCGAATTCCATCCAAACACGGGGTGATTCTCAACATCGCCTCGGTGCGAATCTTTGGCGACCCTCCTTTGGGTTGTTGGGAACTGCATAATCAAACTTTGGAACCCTGAAAGTATTGCCCAATCAACAAATAATCAATTGGTTTAATTATTATTGTAATACTCAACAATCCAATTGGTGTTGGCACTGATGGTTTCATCATTTTCGATGATTGTTTTATAAAATGTGGGCGGGAATCCCTTTTCGGATTTTTCTTAACATCCCATTGATTTGTTTTGGCCCGGAGCTGCTTGCCATTCAGAGCTCGAAGGTGTGCCCATCTCGCCCTGCGAGCCTTGCAGGGCCTGGACATCTGAGGGCACGCGACGGCGCGGAGAGCCCGCTTGGAAAGAAGCCCTGCGCCGTGTATTGCACGCAGTTCTCACTGGCCCAAAGCGAATCGACCACTTGATTGTGGAATGCGGCGTTCCTATGTTGCTTCAATTTTAGTAATTAGCCTTGCAAGCGACACCTTGTTCATGTTCTTCCCCCCCCCCCCCACCCCAATCCTGGCCCAAGCAACACAAGCAACATGCGCCAAGAAATAAGCAATGTATTGGCTGCTGCCCTGTACAACAACTTTGGCAGTTTTAGGAAGACTTGCTCGCGAATGGTCTGGTTCACACGCTTGATTATTCTACACCAGTCCCCATCAAGTGCAATACATCTCTGTCCCATGTGCTTCAACTCCATAGATGCCTGTCTCATTCCAAAAGAGACAGAATGAGGTCGCGCTTTGTTCCTGCAGCCACCAGAAAGACAGCAACAGCATGACGTGTTCTTGTTTAGAGGGAAGGCTTTCAGGAGGTTCCATGCAAGACCAAAGCAAAGCCAGGTTCCTAAGGGTTTCCTTGGAGGCAATCCTCCATGCTTCGTCAGTGTCCTGAAATCAACAAACAGGCAGATGGCATGTATTGCCAATGCGAAGACAAACACTTTGGATGGTAGTGCATGAGTTTGAGCAATGTTGCCCTTGATGCCACGGAAATAAACGGGTCTTAATAAACGGGTTCCGCACCAAAGTGTGTGTGTGTGTAGCATGCCAGAACCCACGAAATAGAACCCATTGGCCCAATGAATGGCTTGGAGCACCCAAACTTGGACGGCTCCATTTCGGCGTCAGATATCCGAATGCAAACGTGTGGGTGTCCCGGCTGGATGGACACCCAAATCAACTCGCATGGTCCCCAAGGCAACCAGCCAACCAAACCAGGACTGATATCATTTGTTCAGATAATTGGGGCCTTTCCATTCTTTTTGTGGTAGATTGAAACGAAGACCACTGGTGTTGTTTTGGTCAAGAAGCAAGCCACGGGAACAAAGACCATGGTGGGCATCCCCTATTTTTTAGCCATGTCTTGAACTCCAAGCTGCCTTCGCTCTCAAGCTGCAGCCTTCTGGCCTCAAGTTGGTCACCTGACACCTGGCATGTCTCATTGGTACAAAGCAAAAGCCGAGGACACGGGAGGGGCCCATCATGCGCAACCAAGAACCGAAGGGACCCACAGAGGCTCCAAGAGGAACGCTCGAGGCTTCGAGCCATGGCCTTGCTGTTTCAGGCATGCGGACGGGCGTGATCTTCAAGGAAGTCCGCCAGAGGGGTCAAGGGTTCCTCGATGTCCTATGCTTGCAGGTCTAAAAGAGGTGGTTTCAGAGCACCGCCAGTGAACTGCAACTCGTGAAAAAATAGGTGTGCATTTGTTAAACCGAATATTTGTCGGTCGGTCCCCGCGGTTCATGAGGTACACGGGGTCGGCGCACGATGGTAATGTCTGCAAGCGTCCATGGTCGCATGTTGGCCGAGACCTGCGGTGCCCTGTTTTCAAATCGGCGGATTTTTCCTTTAAGATCAGGCCGTCCAACACAAGGTGCCCTTCTTTCCCACTTGGCGACCGGAAGTTTGGGTGGATGCAAAGCAGAGCCAGCCGTGCCTTGTCTCGGTCACAATGTCCAATGGTCCACGGTTCACTTGCGAGGGTCATGGTGGACCTCACATGTTTTGCCGCAAGAAACACTTATCGGTTTTGGGTGAACTCTATCGGTTTTGCGGATTGAAGGGTATTGACTTTTGAGTAGGCCCCTATCGGATTGATTCGATTTACTCTCTTGGACCCGGGACCAAGCCCCTGTGATTTGACGAATCCGAGAGCGTCCCGGGATTCACACGAAGGCTTACACATCACCTTGGTGCCAACTTTGAGTGCATCGTGTGAGCGGGGGAGGGTACCCTCGCCATGGACGCTAAGTGTCCGGCTGACACCCCCCCTTGTTCAACCAAAAGTGGCTCCCCACACTCACACACTTAAACATGGGTTTATCTCAAAAACAAAAAAAACACATACTGGTTGGTTTCCTTTTGGTTTCCCAAAAAGGGTACCCTGAAAAAAGACACACACATGTACATGAATGTTGACCGAGCCTGAGAATAGCAGCTGGAACAGCTGTATACAAGAAGCAGGTGCAAAAAGTAGGATTGGAAATCACCACCAGGGAACCGCAAGTTTTAATCTTTGGTTCCATTTACCAGAGTTCCCTCTTGGGTTCTTATTTTTGACTCACGGCCAAATCAATACCATTGTGTGATGTTAAATGGAACTGGGGGACCCTCCGCGTGAATGGCGGCGAACTTTGGCCCTGCAGGTCCTGGTTTTGCCAGTGGCCCTTCACCTGAACAGCCTGGGAGGTGGCATCGTGGATGAGGGAGGGCGGGGTCAAAAACAAAAACACACAGGCACACATAGGGGTTGATCAAAAGGTCCTTTACATCGGATGACCATGAGAGGAAACCACCAAGAAGATGATAATCAAGATACCCATGGTCATTTAGGGGCCAAGAATATTGATCAACCCCCGCATGAGGTTTGGTCCAAAATTCCAGTAGTGCAATTATGATTTGGAAGCGGCATGGGGCGCTGCGACAAAAACCAGGGGTCTCACAAATTGCCACATGCCCTCCTTGCGAAACAAGATCTTTTTGACTGCCTTACATGCCTGGGAATATGCCCATCGCAACCTCGCAAGATTGTTATATCCCCCAAATTACCCGTGATAAATGTTGATTGTGAGGGTCCCTCATTTCAGGTGTGTGACGTATTGTACTTCACTTGCACGCATGCACGTTTCCTTGGCTGGCGGCGGGAACCATTTGCATGAAATCTTGTCGGGCCTTTCTTTGTTCTCGAGGCATTGGGGCACCTGATGAATCAGGTGGGGGAGGGGGGTATATAATTGGTTAGAAGGCCACACAGGTGTTTGCCACCCAAACAAAGGTTGTTGCCTGTTGGTGTCCCATCAAAAGCCACCCTATGCCACGCGCACCACAATTGCCGCACTAAGTAGGACGCGCAGTAGGGGTAAAACCAAGCTCAGGGCCATCGGCAACTGGAGATTTGCATCATCAGCCGCCAACCTGTTTTGTGGGGTTGCTACACTTCACAGGCTAAATGCACTCCATACAAGCCGGGTGCGTCCCTGGTATGAACCAACCTCTATGAACCCTGGTTTGCAAATTCGGCAGGGCTGCAATCTGAGAAACCGACTGCAGCGCAATCAGTCTAAGAGGATTTGGATTAGACTCCAAACCGCTATTCGCAGGTAAATGGGGTATACAGCCGCTACATTGCCACCATGTTGCTGGGTGCTTGGGGTCAGCTTTTCACCTCGCGACTCCTGCGATCCGCGAAGGCCCAGACTTCGTAGATCTCCATGAGGCGCAAGATGCGAAGAGCCCGGCGTCAAGAGATGATTATGTGTCAAACTACGAGGACCCAGACAAAATGGTAGTCTTCTTTGTTGTTTCCCTTTAAACCAGCCTGAAAAGGGTACCATCAACACAAGGACACATCCAGATACGGAGTGTCCTACCAAAATGGAAATGAAGCAATATTGTTGAAAAACTATTCCACCCAGCCCTTGTTTAGGGCTTGGAGTTGTTAGGAATTACGTAATTTTCGAGTTTTTGGAGTTAGCTTCAGAGTTGTTTGGAATTAGGTTTCGAGTTTCAAGGTTTAGGTTTAGTTTGTTTTGGGCTTGGGTTTAGGATGTTAGGCTTTGGGCTTAGGGCTTTTAGGGTTTAGGTTTGGGCGTAGGGTTTTTTAGGGCGTGGGTTCCGGTTTGTTTAGGGTTTAGGTAGATTTAAAACTTGTAGGGTTCAGGTTTAGGATTGTTCGCCTTCAGGTTTTTTAGGGTTGCCAGGTGTTTTATTTCGGGCGGTTGGGTTTAGCTTTGCGGTTTGAGGGTTTCGCGTTTAGGTCTAGAGTTTGTAGGGTTTCAGCTTGAAGGTGTTTAGGGGGCTAGTGTTTTACGGTTTAGGGGATTTTAGCAGGATATATATTTTAGATTATTTTAGGGTTAAGGTGAAGCACGTAAAAAGGTGGCATGTCCATTTTCCTTAGAGGGCGCACTGTCCGTTCCTGAGTTTGCAAGTTGGGGAACCCAGACCGTGGTCGTCATCGAACAATATGAACCTTCTTCCTTTATCAACTTGGCTCCAATTGGCGGTTTGCGTTGGTGGTTTGCTGTTCTGGGTTCTGCCCTTTTTGAGATTACGTGTTGGTTTGTTCAGCATTGTTTGGGATTAGTGGTGGGGTGCGAAATTAGCCAATTACTCTGTTTATGTGTTTGTAAAGAAAGAAAGCGATTTGTACTTTGTTCAGAATTTGTTGGGATTGATGCGGGCCACATCCCTTTCGCTACCACCAATATCTCTAGGTGCTTGCCACTTTATGGAGTTCATTGTGCTTTTTGTTTCGCTGAGGATCAGTGGGGTCAGATCCCTTCACTAGTCATAGAATTCATTGAGGCCTAACTTATTCACTGATTCACCTAGGGGGCTTGGGACCGCTAATCCTCACAAATCAATGTAATTTATTAGGTTTTGTCAGGCTAGGTTAGTCAAGATTTGGTTACGTGTTGATTTGTTTGGTTAGTATAGGTCAGGTTTCGCCAGGTTTGGCTTTGTTCGGTTAGGTTTGCCTAGGTTTGGTTAGGTTAGGCTTCATTAAATTGCGCTTGGTCAGGTTACGTTAGGTTAGGTTTGATTATATGGGTCACGTTTGGTTGGGTTTGGTTCGGTTCGATGGGATCAGGCTTGGTCAAGTTTGGTTAGGTTGTTTGGTCAGGCTAGGTTAGGTCTGGGTTGATTAGGTTTGGTTTGGTTGGGCTGGTTCGGTTTGGTCAGATTATGTTTGGTCAGTATTGGTTATATAAATGTGGAGCAAGAGGACCTGGGGTTCAAGATCAAACCACCAATCCAATCCACCAGTTCGGGGACACCTGAAATCCACAGGTCATAGGATACCCAACAGCACAGGCAAGTTGTGCAAAAGCTGCCAAAACGACGTTGAAGGAACTGCTGAGCCACCTGAGTTTGCTTAGACATGGATTCATGGAAAACTGCACAACATTCTACAGGAAGTTAGACAAACGCCCAACACAACCTGGGGGGCACCCCTCAGGACGGCTCAGCCGCAAGTGCAAAACTGCGCAGAACCAGTATTTTGGGTTTGGAGGACAAAGCTTTGACTAGCGTCTTGGTAGCCTAACTCGGAAACTGGAAAGTGAACCCTCTGTGGGAATCGTGTTTTTTTGTTGTTTCAATCCGCCGAAGTGTACATTACTACGCAGGGCGTTGGAGAGCTTACTGCCAGAGCACGATGGACCTGCCAACAATCCTGTCGCTGTTCCAGGGCGCTTGGTCTGAGATCAAGCAATACCAAGCTTTCAACAATGGCTACGCTGACTACAGGTGGCAAAGGGAGTCTGCATGACGGTGAAGGACGAGAACCTGTGCGTGCCCTATGGAAGAATTGCCCCGGAAGAAGTGGCCCACATCCAGCACCGATTGTGCCAATTCTGCTGCACGTTGCCATACCTAGCCTAACCTGAACAAACCTAACCTCACCAAGCCAAACTTATCGTAAGCTAGCGATCCTAACCAAACGCAACTAAATCTAACCTCACCAAACCAAGCCAAACCGAACCTAACCTAACCAAACCTAACCTAGCCTAGCACACCCTAATCAAACCTAACCTCACCTCACCAAGCTCATCCTAGCCTAACTTACAGCAATGTTTTGGCACCCACCCTTCCAAGCCGCCCAGGATGTCTCCCTTTGCCCTGCCGTGCACCCAGATGAGCTGCCGCAGGCTGAAAGATGGCAACCCAAACCTCCAGTGGTGCCCCGTGGTCCCACTTTTTCGAGGGATGCCCCCTTAAACACAACTACCAAACCAAAGGAAAGATTGCTCTTGTTCCCCTGTGGACCTCCCCTTGACCAATTTCCCAAGCCGGAAGTAAGGCAGCCCCACAAAAGGAATCGCTTGGAGGTCTGGGGGGGAAAGAAGTGGTTGAAGAGGGAGGGTGTCGCATTTCAAGTCCTCCACTTTTTGGGGGAACACACTCACCCAGCAAAGTAATACTCTGCAAGTCTGCGAGATTGATGAATCCGGGATCGACATCAGGGCCTCCAACCGGAGATTCGTCCACAAACATGCCAATTTCCAGCAGAGTAATTTGCGGCTGCTGCGACCCGTGTAGCCGTGCGAACAGTACAGCAGCATGAACCAGCTACTTGCATGTTTGACCAAGGCGTTTCCACTTTCTACACTCACGAAACGCCTATGTCCAACCTGGCGAGATTTCGCTGCAGCATGCGCTTGATGACCATTTGTGCCAAAGTATCGAACACGAAGCAGTCTCGGTGTTGCCTCATTTCAACCCAGAACCCGAATGATGGGTGGTTCCTTTTGACTTTCCTTTGATGGCCATTTAAAAGAGGTTCAACGTGGGGAGCACGTGGGGCACTCTCAGACCGTCAAACATTGATTCAGGGTCTGGATAGGTCGGGGAAATGTGGTGCTTCAAAAAAATCAGGAGCCCTCCTTGGATGGCTTCAGAAAGAAAGTCAACAGGAAGCCAACTTTCTTTGTGGTCCTGGCTTCCCCCCTGGTTACTAGGACAAGCCACCTGGCAACTGGTATGAAGCAGAATCACATGGGGTGTGTCTCAAATCCTCGGAACCTTGAAACTCAATCCACCTGATTTGTTGAAGCTTTTTTTTGACTCAAGGAGTTGTTTTCCTCAACTCCTCAGAATCACATTTTTGGAGGAAACTCCCGGGATGTTTTTGGTCTCAATCCACGCCCCCAAAAAAACGCTTTCTTCGAGATCCTCGCGTTCTTCGAGCGGCCGTGCCACGAGGCGACCTGGCAGGCGGCCGGCCAGCGGCTCTGCGCGGGCCCGAGGGGCGCTGTTTGAAACCGAGGGAGCCTTGGCGGACATGTGGAGTCCTAAGGCCAGCTTCAAAGGGAAGCTGGCCTAAAGGTGCGCCTTACAAGCTTCCTTATAAGGCTCCTTAGAAGCTTCTGGGAAGCCAAGGAGCCAGGGATACTTCAAATCCCTATCTGACAGGTAATGACTGCGGAGTGAAATCGGAGTGACAGGTCCCAGTTTGTGCGGTGGCAAGCTTGGGTGCGCTGGCTTTCAATGGGCCTCAAGACGCAGCAACGCTGTCCAATGCTGTCCCTGGATGCCTCAAAAGCCTTTGGTGCGATGCATGTTGGTTACGGCGATGGCCCCAAACTTGGAGAGCTAAAGGCTGCTGTGACCGTTGAAGAAAGTCAAAACACAGGGGTAGAAGAAAGGGAAGGTGCCTCTATAGCTCACTTGCTCAAAGCCGACTTTTTGACCTGTTAGTTTCCAGTCCTATTTTTAGTTAACCCCAAAAGGTTAAGCTAGTAGTTCTGGATGCTTCGGGCAAGTACCTGTAGGAGCTCGCTCCATGAGTTTGTTAGGGTCACTGTCCATGTTCAGTGCAGTTTGACCTTGGCACCGAACGCTTGATTTGCCTTAGCGTCTCTCTGTATAAAAGAAAACTGGGATTGCTTTATTGGAGCAGACACGTTTCTTGGCAGTTGCTTGGTTGGTTTTTGGGTTGGCCGAGTCTCCCCGTTAGGACCTTTTGGAAACACATTGCGTTTCCATTGAACAAAGATCAGACCTTTTGCCAGGGGAGAAGAGCAACCCAGGTGGATCAAATACTGTCGTGCCGCACTTCTGCTCTTCGTATTGTGATGCTTGCTCTGGCTCTGAATCACTTTAGGTTCGGTAAATGAAGAGCCTTTCCCACAAGTAGAGCACCCCTCACTCTGACAACAGTTTTAAAAGGCTGCCCGTAAAAAGCTCCACACGGCAAGCAAAGCAGGTGGTGCAAATTGGTATGTCAGATTCAGGGGTCCTTTTATTTCCCTTGTTGGGTGTTTTTAGCATCACTTGGCCCATTTGAAGTGAGCTTCCCATGGTAAGGGTGACTTGTGGGCAGCTTGTGGGATCTTAGAACCCTGACATTGCGAATGCCTTCTCGGGTCCGGGCTGAGGTAACAAAGATGCCCTCCAGAGGATCGCAGATGCGAACATCCACCGGCAAGCCATCGAGGAAAGGATGCACGGAACGTTGAATCAACGCCTAGTCAGTCAAATTTGTCTAGCCAAAATGTGGCCAGTCACAATGGGAGTGTGGTCAATGAAAATAATATTCCTTTCTTGGGAATCCCAAACTCAAGAGAAGGCAAGGGGATGGTCATCCGTCCTGGAGTTGGGATTCTCGACTGGTTCGATCTTGGCGCGATGGTGGAAGGTTGCCTTCGTGTTGGAGCAGCCAGCCCACATGAAGTTGGACCCCTTTTTAAGCAGACACTTGTTTGGGCGGTTGCCATAGTTGATCATATTTTACATTGCAAACTTGTGAGGGGAGTCCCCAGAAGACTGCCTTGAGCGCTGGCTTGTCAGACCTAGACAAATCAGAGAATGACTTCCACTGCTGTGAGTGGGTAAACTTCCCCGTGCCAACAAAGCCGGTTTCCCTCTAATCCCATACTTTGGGCCACAAGATTCACTTTAATCCAAAACTAGGGGGTCATACCGGGGCTCTTTCTTTGGGGAGTGTGCTTGAGGGTGTGTCTTCTTGAGGCTACCTTTTGTTGGGGCTAGTTGGAAGGGAAATCACAGGAAACCCGAAGTATCTCGAAATCCATTGCGGGTTTTCCCTATTCTGAGTGGTGTGGGGTTCCCTTTAAAGGTGTCCCTTTAAACCCACCCCAAAAAGGTGCCCTCAAATTTTGCGACGCCCAAAGCCCCATGAACCTCAGGGGTTCCTGGTGCAGCCTTGGGCTTTCCCAGGCGCGACTCCGCGACGCGAATGGAGCGAATGGCCCGTGACTTTTGTAGTGTTCCCAAAAGGAAGGCAGAAGTGGATGGGTATTTGTTGCTCTTTTTTTGCCGGAACCTCTATTTAGGCCCGATGCATCGTGACTAACGTGGCTGGAAGGCAAATTATGTTTGGCAACTGTATTCTTGTTGTGGTTTGCTGGCTAGCGTGTCACTGGTCTTGCACTCAATGGGCCTCATTTGTTGCTGGCCCCCGTGTCCTCCGTTATTAACTGCTCAGCTGGTCAAAGCTGTCCTTTTCCGCGCCCCCTCAGACTGACATGGAAGCGACTAAGTTTTCCAAAGGAGTCCTACAAGCGTTCGATGGGAGGCGCCTTAGACTCTGGGAGGGTAAGTTTTTGTGGCTTGCCCTGGTTGGCCTGTTTTAGTCAAGGTCCCAAACATTGAAACCTTCATGTTCAGGTCCTTTGGGCAGAAACCCAAAGACAAAGCTCACTCAGCACGCACACGGGTTGTTCGTGGGCACGTGCAAGAGGATCAGCGCGGAGAGGGACGGCGCGAGGGCGGCGGGGTTGTGCGGGGGCGGAAGGGGTTGATAAATATGATGATATATGCACACGATTAACAAGTATTGTGTCAGACCACGGACCTGGTTTTTCAAGGATCTCAGAACCCTTGTGCTGCTCTCACTTTTTCAGGGAAAGCCAAGAGCTGATGCTTGTTGGCGAGATTTTGCTCGAGGTGATGTTCCTCGTTGTCTTATTTTCGTTTGTTTAGGCGGCAACGGTCACGGTTGGTAAACCAGAAAGCCTGCAACTATTCATATGTTCATATCACAATGTTTCTCCTCGTGGTTGATTGTGTGGTTCGATTCAAAATCTTCTGCAAGCTTGTGCGAAACAGAATTGCCTTTCATTGATTATCGGATTGCGGATGATGCAGTTTCCGTATTGGACTGTGCGCGTTGCGGATTAGTTTCAAATCTCATTTTGCAGCGTAGATTGTGGATTAAGAAGAGTGCCAAGCAGAACAAGGATGAAGCGGATTAGGGATTGTGATAAAGTTCCATTGGATTGCGAACAGACCAATTATGGTTGTATACATACATTGTATATTAATATATATATATATAATATATATATATATATATATGTACATATACATGAGTGTTCATGTGTTCATTGAAATAGAGGCGCCAACACGCAAACGAGAGGGGCACCTCCCCAGACACCGCGAACCGAAGCGGCAGCCGAAGCGATGCCAGGTCTGGAGTCCAGCACGAGGCGCATCGCCGATTCGTGGCTGGGGGTGGCCCTCTTTCCTCACGGAAATCCACTGGCTCCCTGAGTTCCACTTTAAACTTTTGGGGAGGACCATTTAAAATTTAGAGTGAGAGAAAGAAGGTGTCGATTTGTTCCGGCCCATCCGAGGGGGTGGGCAAGATGCTGGGAAGATATGCAAAGGACTGTGGCTCTTGGACCGTTTGGAGGACTTTCAGGACTTCCTAACTGACTTGCCCAAATCACCCTGTTGACTTGTTGGCCCATTTTCAGTCGAGGTTCCAAAAGGTTAAGCAAGGTGTCCAATGCGCCATAGTCTCAACACAGTCTCTTTTTTCCGGGGCGTCAACGCGTTCATCTTAGGGAAGCCCAGCAACGAAAGGACGATTCCCCATACGGTTAACCTAGCAGGGACAGGATACATGGAGGGGGCTCGCCACACGTTCCTTCCCAGTTGGAGCTGGAGATCATGACAAACATGTGAGCCTATGTTAAACTAGGATTTGGACCCTTATAATGGCCGTTTCCCTTCGGTGTCCCTTGCGCTTGCCAACGCCGCAGGCCATGTTTTGTTCAGCAATAGTTTCTCAATGATGTTAGGGTCTGAAGAGCGCAACATGCGCCGCGCGAGGAGCGTCCGCAACCGCAAACCTGCCTGGCTTCGGAAGTTCCCAAACACGAAATGCATCTGATCTAGTTGGTTTTCCCAAAGGCTTTTCTCGGGACCGTTCCTAGGACATGAGCATTTGCGCCCGTTCACTTGGGCAAGTCTCAGGGGGAAGTCCGAAAGTGGCCAGCTTCGCGGTGAACTTCTGAACAGACAAAGTACTCTCAGAGCCATTGGTTTTTCTGCGCCCGTGGCTTCCATAGGATCGCAACGTGTCTAAGAGAACCACTCTTGCAAGCTTCCAATCTGAAGGATTCCGAATCCGAGTTCCCAAGCTTCTGGATCTCTATTTCAGGAGGACTGTTGGAGTGGTAAACACCAACGTTGATGAGTTTTGGTTGGGAAGTGAGGCGTTTCCCATTTTTTGACACGCCTGACGCCTGGGATCAGGGCCTTGGCATCAGCAGTCATCACTGCCTATGACATGCTCGTGGCGTGGGCGCTGGATCAAGGCTGCCTGTACCTCGGCTAAAAGATGGTTGAACCCACGGCGCCCGGTGCGCGAGCCTGCGAATTGTTCTATGGGGGCAGGTTGGCTGTTTGGATTCCGGCCAAGAAAGGATCGGTTGGAGCGCTCTAAGAAGGTTCAGTACCCTTTGTAGTTGGGTTGCAAACCCTGTTTTGAAAACACGACAACCAGAAAGGGAGTCTTAAAATGGGGGGGCGTGTTTGGCATGATCTCTCAAGTGAAGCCAAGAGCAAACCAGCCAGTTTTGCCCGCCATCCATTTTGACAAGAACATGTCTTTGGCTTCTTTCACAAACCATCCAGAAAAGGGTCTTTTTACCGATTGAAAACACTGCCATATGGAGTGTACAACCCCCTTTCATGGGTCGTTGTGGTTCCTCGTTGGAATCCTTATATACCTGGTCGTCATAATGTTTGATGAAGGGTCCACGACCATCGAGCACGCTGCATACGCCCCATGTTGACAACTCCTTTTTGGGGCCATGGTTATGGCTCCCTTAGAAGGAACTCTTATACTGATTGTTCAACCCTTGATGAACCAACGATCATATCCAGCGGACCTCGCCTCGGGAGTTTGGACGGCTGAGGTATGCTCACGGCTTCGCGCTGCTGGTCTCAGCGTTGCGGGTCCACTTCCTGATTCTCATCGCCGGAGTTGTCCAGGAGCCCGAGGGTCCAAAGACGGACCCCGGAGTAATGGTTCCCTGAAAGTTAAGGGTCCTAAATGAACCACCCCCAAGGAAAATAACCAGGGGTTCATGGTCAAGACTACAACATTGGAGACCTCAAATGTAGGGGGGCTAGTTTGTTGGATGGCTTTCAAGATAAAACGACCAGGAAGCCAACCAACCACCTGAAGGATCCCCAGATTTTGAGAAACAACCATAGATTGCAAATCCTCCTACAACCAAAGTGTTGCTTCCCGTGGATTGCAGAAGGTTGTTGTCTCGGGCGGGACAATTTGTCGATTGCAGGACGATTCGTCGATTGCCAGCGATGGTTTAGATGCTTTGCCATGTGATCAGGGAATGCGGCAGGATCCCATTGACCCCAGAGGTATCTCCCTAAACAAGGCATCGATTCCCGATTAAAAGGGATAGCCGACTCCATATTGATTAAGCAAACAGGGAGGCGTCTCCCCCAGAAATGATTTGGATCCCCTCTGAACTGCGAGGAAATGGCCCTATCAATCAACCAGGGTTTATTAGTCCTGGGGTCTCATGATTTCCCGGAATCATGTCGCCAGGACATTTGCGGCTGTGTGCTGTTCTGTGTGAGGACTCCGGACGGGCGGTTCATTTTTCCTGGCTGTTGGCATCAAGCATCAGGAAGCCTTCAAGCATTTTGGGGGCGGGATCCCCAGATTTTGACACCAGGTTCGAATCAGCTTTTGCAAACAACTGGGTTTTGCTTTTTTGGGTGTTTCTCAAAATGTTGGAATGGGACAATAAGATGGTTGGCCCCCCCTCTTACCAACCCAACCTTGTACATGGCTTAAGGATCATCCCTATATTCGGACTTGGCTCAGACCCCCACACACCGCGAAAGCAGACATGCGACCTCAGCATCCATTGGAATCATTTTGGCATTCAACCCTGTTCTGGGTGTCCGGTAGTGTCAGCTTCGAAGTTGATGAACATGACTGCCAGAATCCACTAAAATTGTGTTCCTTGAATCCAAAGCGGACATGCCATTTCACGCGCCACATTCCCCTTGCTGGCTTCCGCAAAAAGGGCGGTCGAGCACTCACAGCGTTCCATGGGGCGTGGAACATGGGGGCCGGACCAATGATGGGTTTCCACTTCGCATTCAAGCATCATCCAACATGGGGGGGTCCCTGTAAACTGTAAAGTCCGGAGCTCCAAGATTTCACAAGCACAAGCGCTGAACCTTGTGTATCCGAAGGTATCCCGCCGCTTTCAGGGGCTCCTGAATAAACGACAATGTTCCTCGAAAGTCTGGACTGCCCAGCGTATGCCGCAACGCTCAATTCCGGTTATAGTGTTTCTCCTGCTTGCATGCCGAAACCTAGAATTGGCCCTTGGATTCAAGATTAGCTCAGAAGCACCGTGCCGTTCTCGCAATTCTGAATGATGCAGGGGGCTGAAGAAACCACTACATACTGTGTTTCTCAATGATCAGAACTAAATATGTCTTAAAACTTAAAGTACCCCACAGCCCACTCGAATTATAAGAGGATTTGCATGTTGGAAACAGAATGGGTCACAAGGTACATCGCTCCATTTGGACGTGCCAAATATGTTAACAGGAGCTGCAATCGCACAGACTGCGCAGGGTGGGGGTGGGGGAGACGTACACCGCTACGCCAAACAGCAAGGAAACAGCGGAGAGGAGGAGAAGGAGGAGGAGGAGGGGTGGGCTAATAACGTAGGTCGTTCCTGCATTCGGTCGCATACCCTCAGGCAACAATAGCGATTATTTGCTGCGGCTGGTTTCCGATTTGAGATCAACGTATGCGTTGGCCATATTGGCCGGCAGAGCGCTTATGCGCAGACCGTCCAGGACGTGTGGCGGTCATGGCCTGAGACAAATTCCGCGCGGTCAGGCAGAGCGCCGTGACCTTTTCTTGTTCTTTGTTGTATCCGGGGTAGCGGTGGTGATGGTAGTGGTGGTGGTGCTGGCGGCAGCGGCGGCGGCGTTGTTGTGCCGATGCTTGCTTTTTTGCTTGCCTGCTTGCTTGCCGGCCTGCTTTTCGGCCTGCTTTTCTGCCTTATCTGCCTGCCTGTTTCTGCCTGTCTGTGTTCGGGTTTGTGGCGTCTTACCGGTTGCTTTGTTCTGTCCACCGTCAGGAAGACCTTGCTGCGGATGCTCGCGCCCCTGACCGAAGCTTTCAGCCTGATGGCCGGCCTTTGCAGCCGCTCCCGCCGCGCCTGGGACGTTGGGCAAGCCCACTGGGCGTGTCCTTTTTTGGGTACCCCGTTGCGGGCTGGTTGAATCGGAAACCAAAAGGAAAGCCACAATTTGCGACAGAGCAATAGGCGCCCTGGCCAAAGCACCTAGCTGAGCGAAACCTCTGGGGAACTGCTGCCCTCAAATAATTGGTTTTGCTGGTGTGTTCCTTGAAGCACCAACCAAGAGGGGGGTCCCCAAAGGAAGACAGACCCATAGTTTTTCCTATTGTATCTGTAGTTACTAGTTGTGGTAAGTCCATATGTTCCTTCCTGGGAGTGGTCTACGTAGGTGTAGACTTGGGTCCCCAAAGGGGGGATTCAACGGATCACGTATCCCATGAGCCTAAAATCGCCCAATGAATCCGATTTTCTTGGTCTGTGTATGACCAGACTCTGTAATGCCCTTTTAAAAACCCAAAAGTGTACCCCGCCTTCCCGCTGGAAGTCCACTGAAAAACCCCTCCTCCAGGTTCCCACTTTGGGCACAGAATACGTTTGTTCGGGCACTCGATGTGCGTTTTCCTTCGCATGGCGCACCGCAGCAAACTCAAAGTCCATTGCATCCAGTTACTACTCTTTGGAAAGATCTTTTGAGAGCAACAGTGTGGCTTCGAGTTGCCAATGTACTCCGGAAGTGCTGCCCAATGGCTCAGTGGATTTCATTGGGGTGCCTCAAAGTAGTTGCCCCTCGTTCAGGATTTGTTTGCAGGGAAGCAAGAAGGAAACCCCAATACATGTGGATATTTATTCTGTTTCGAGACACACCCAGTTCTTCCTTTGTTCCAATTGATTCCCACCACTTGACACGGAGTTGAAGACAAACGCCTGTTTCACTTCTTCGTGTTTAGCTTCTCCTTTTCGTTGTTCCCTGTTTCACAGACGCCACTCATGTTTTCTTGTTTGTTCCATGAACAGGGCGTAGCTGGGCCTGGCAAAGAGCGTTCAAGCTCTACCCAGTGCAAAGGATGGGCAATCAGCCTTTAGACATTTGCTGTGACTAACAACCAACCATCCTTGAGCCCAAGCAAGGACGTTCTTGTTATGCTGGTGGAGTCACTTAGCTTTTGCCCCCAACAAAAAAAACATGTTCTTAGGCTAACTTTAAAGAAATCAGCATTATTTTCAAAAGAGATCCCAGACTGCAAAACAAACCTGACTTCTTAGACAAATGTGAAGGTTCCTGAAGTTAAAAGGAGCCACCATTCACATGTTGGCTACTGCCTAATGGTCGAAACGATAGCTTATGTCGCAAACAAGACCCTTCTTTTCATAGCCAACACACCAAGGAACCGTTGCACTTTCTGAAACGAAACGGGATGCTTGCAAACAACCTTTAGAACAAGTATTTTGTCGGCTTGCGTTCCCATTTAGCCTTTGCGTCCCGGTTTGGAGAAATCAAGAAAGGCCCTGCAGGATCAATCTTCAGAACTTGTGTCCCGTCTCCATGTTTGTTGCATTTGTCTGAACTGGTGGGGAAAGAAGCCATTCTCCAAAAAGTGCTACTGCAGGAAGTCGACGTATCCTTCCCTTCAAGGATCAATTTTCTGTCTCAGGGTGCCCTTGTCAGTGCCATGTAGGTGGGAGGGAGGGTAGGATGCAAAAGAAGATATCCACAAGGAAGGTTTGGACCTGGCACAGGGATCCCTCAATCACGCATGTGTAGACCCATTATAAGGACTGCTGATGAGGGATCCACGACCAAATGATCAAAGGAAACCCCCCTCTCAAATCAACCAGGGGGGTTGCTCATCCTGGGTCAAAACTAAGTGGTTGCCAGAGTTTCACATTCATGCTTTGTGAGCTAATCTGACACTTGCACGGGATGGGCAAAGTTTCAGAAGCGCGAACCAACCCAGGGTCTCCTGGAAAAGTATGTCATATGTTGTTGTTTTTTGTAGACTCAATATGGAGATGCTGAGCACATATGGCCAAGCCGGCATCCATTGGCTGAACTGAGGTGAGCGCCCGGTGGTGCCCCGAAAGGCCCGGGGGGAATCAAGCGCCGCCTCCGAACCTTCCGCGAAAGGGCGGAAGCTTCGGCCTGGAAGAAGCGGAAGACATACCGGCATACCGGAAAACGGCCACGCGAAAATGGGCTGTTAGTCTTTTGGTACGCCCAAACTTTGCGGCTTTCCTTTTGGTTTCCCTTTGCAACCGCTGAAAGCCGGTCTTTGGATTTCCCCCCATTGTTTCCGAAAAAGGCCTGGCCATTTGTGCTGAACGTTGTTTCTGAAAGAGCACACAGACACATTTCGATCCACCACAAAAGTATTTGAGGAGTTTTTGCTGTAGAGGTCCAAAGGCTGATTACCAGGAAGCGTTCTCCCCGGGTGTTTGGTACATCAACATATAGCCATTTGGGTCCCCCAAGCTGTCGTGTATAGGCCTTGTATGGGTTCATACAATCAGCCTTTGACAAATGCCTTCAGGAAGTAAGAAGAGAGCTCCAGGACGTTTGCTGGAAAGTTGTTCACGCCAGGGGCCCATACTGTAGATGAACAAAACCCTCCATCATCTCTGACGGATGCAAAGCCCTACACATCTTGGGATAAACCAAGAAGCCACTAACTGGTGCCTGCCGATTTTGTCCGCGATATCACTTACCGGCTGTCAAAGTTATCCCCTTTCGATGGCATCAAAGGCATACAGGAAACAACCCCATGTTCGACAAAACGTGAATTCTAAACTCAGAGGCCTCGGCGGTTTTCCCACGTCCACTGGGTCCACGTGGCCACGTGGCCACGTCTCGGGTCGTCAGGTGCTCTCGGTCGCGCCGGTGCCGCTGAACGCCTCGGCGGTGCGGCGCCGCACGCGGCAGGCGCTGGAGGCCCTCGCGGAATCGACGCCGAAGCCTCGGCGGTGCAGGGGGCGGGGGCGGGGGGGGCGTGGGTCGGTTGGGGCGGGAGGGGAGGTAGGGCTGGGGGGAAGGGGTGAGCTTGGGAGACGGGTTGTGGGGGGTAAGGGTAAGGTTTGGGTTCAGGTTTGGGGTTTGACCTGTCATGAGGTACGGTAGGGTTTTGCCAAAGGAGGGTGGGGGGAAAGGTCTCGACCCCAATTGTAGCCGTAGCGCTTTGCCTTTTGCCTTTCCCTGCGCTTTGGCTACTTCTGCCTTTTGCACCCGATGTTCACCACATTTCGACCTGTTCGACCTCTTCAAGCTCTTTCATTCCCAGTCACCCCCGCATCAACCCACGTGTAGCAACTAACCAAAGCCCCAGTGGAGCCCCCAATCAACCCAATGAATCCCAAGTTAGCAACTAACCCTCCAATAAACCCCCGTCCAATTAGCCCTACAAGCCCCCAATTAGCCCGTTGACCCACTGAACCCCCCAGACCTCCGCCACATCCTCCCAGGCAAGCCTTGGCCAAGGCCGGCTTGACGCCCGAGGACGACAACGCGCGGTTTCCCTCGGCTTCCGGGGAACAAAAAGGGTACCAAAATCTGTGGATTCCCTTGGCTCCTCAAACCAAACAAAAGGTACCAACATGGGGTGGTGTTTCGTTTTGCCCTTCTCAAAAGCCAAATCTCATGACCCGCCAGCGCGATTCAGTATGGGTTTGATACCAGGTGGTTTTCCAAAAACCCTTTATGCAGTTGTTCTGTGGGTCCTGTTTATGGGGCCGGGCAGATCTCTGCACCATGCCAAGTGGGCATGTCTCCAAATGGGGTGGTTGGGTTTTAAAGGGGAGCAACAGCCCCGGTTGATGTTTTGCTTGAAGGATGAATACCCTCCTCCAAATCCAAACGATTCAGCACGCTCAGGAAACCGTGGGAAGACCACTTTGCAGGAGGCTCCAAAGTGAATCAGTGTGTATTTTTTTGACGCAGCTGGGTTTGCATCAAAATAGGCGAACGGTGTCCCTTCACTTTCCCTTTGAACCGTCAAAAAGGCTACCCTCAATAACACACACACACACACAGATAGTTGGTTTGGAGGCCCCCTGGAGGGGTCACCCCACAGCCATCGAATCATGGCTCCGTTTGCGACCAAACCAGGCAACCCTAGTCATTGATAAATCCGTGTTAGATCCACAGCACTGTTTGGAGATGCATCCTATGACTCTGCCAGATTGATAAATCTGCAGCGAGCCCTGGTAGATAAATCAACCTGGTTGATAAACCCCTTTAGTACAGTCGGGTGAAACTAGATGGCACAAGCCCCCGACATTCCGCTTGCTTATTACTTACCGACAGAAAAGGGAATTGCACCATCTACCCGGTGGAGCTTGTTTGTTGTTCATGTTGGCCAGAAGTTAAGCGCCGCTTGATACTTTCACACTGGTGCAGACAACCCCCATCTACTTTCACCCTGGAGAAGTTGGGGAGCCCTGGTATGATAAGATTGCTCACCTGCAATTGAACTCCCGACTTACTCCTTTGCCAGGGGTCCAATTCTTCTTTCAGGTTTTCAATTACTCCAGCGTTTGCTTAAATCTATCAAGTGGATTTCCTTTGTGCGCATGTATTAGGTTTATTGCTGGCGCTCAGGGAATGACCCTTCCGGGTGTTGGGAATGGACCTATTCCCTTAAAGAACACCAATCAGGGAATATTCCCTCAAAGAAAGCCAATCGGGGATGGTTATTGATCAGATCCCCATGTTCCATGAGAATCCGCCCCTTCTTTTAGGAGATTTGTTTTTCCGGGGTTCCAACTCATTCCCTGCCCAAATCCGAAGGACATGGCACTCCACGCCGCGGAGCTGCACTACGCCCAAGAGAGGCCGCGATGGTGAACTGCTTGATTCGCGGTCAGCCGGTGTTCGCTTCGGTTTCCCTTCTTCTTCTTCTTCTTCTTCTTCCTCTTCCTCTTCTTCTTCTTCTTCTTCTTGTTTTTTTTTTGTTGTTTTTTGGGGGGTGTCCGTTGTTTTTGTTGTTTCCCTTAATTTTGCCGGAGGGGGGGGAAGGGGCGGTTTCCCGATTCCACCAACCCTTTTTGTGGCAAGTACCCTACAAACCGGCAGACCCAAATAGGGCGTGTTCTCTGGGGCGGTTCTGATCTGTTCTAGTTGTATGGAGCTGCCACACGTTTCGCGGGTTGTCTCTTTTTGGGGGGAAGATGACCAAAAAGATGGCCCCCGCGGAGCCTGTTGAAGCCATATTTTCTTTTGGTTGAAAAAGGCTCGTTTGGGTTTTGCGTGGCCTCTTGAAGCTATTTCTTTCTTGACAAGAAACGGTTGCACTTGGTTCCGTCTGGGAAGCATCTTTCGCGTGTTCCTGGAGCCCCGGCAAGTACAGAAGCGGGTTCAACGAATGCTCGTGTTGGTTGAAGGAAATGGCTTCGCCGATTCTTTTGCTCGCCAGTTGAATCAAGACGAAGTATCCGGAACCCCGCCTTTAGGCCGACGAAGGGTGTTCAGTCAGTTGGTACTTTGTCACTGATTCTTGTGGATTGAGGTGGTCCGCTTAAATGTTGGGAGATGGCTTCGTGCTGACTCGGAGCCGTTGAAAACCGTGTCTCAAATTCTAGGAGCAAAGGCGGTTCCATTCTGGGTCCATGTCTTATTTCAAGTTGATCAGTTATCACAAGTCATCCAGGGGACTGGCAAAAAGACCCTTTTTTTCTTGGCAGGCATTTCAGCGCTCCTTCCCAGAAGCACCTCCGATGTGTGGCCACTGAAATGGAAGTAAATTAGGATCAGGATATATTTGGCATTCCCGGTGAGCAAAGCGGGAGGTTTTTGGAGATATCTTTTAAGGAACCCGTCAGTCGCCAGGTGCCACCCCATGCGGGAGAGCGAGCACGGGGAATGGTGGCTGCCAGAGGCCAAAAATGCATCGACTAGAAAGCCATCCGTTGGAAACATGGATCGAGAAGAAAGACCGGGGCGAGGGCTGACAACGTGGGATTGAATGCCCCTTCTTTGTTTTGGTCCTATGGCATCGTTGTCAGCTCAGGATGTTATATGCCGAAGATGGTAACCTCAGAATGCTCGGGCACCGAAAGGGGTACCGTACAAGCTCCTTGATTCAGGTTTGACGGGATCACAAGAGAACCCCAACGTTTGTGGCGTTCCTCGGTTTCCTTTGAGATAAAGAGCATCTTCTGGTTGGGGGGTTGCAGGCATGCATGCTCATAAACCACCAGTATCATACAAGCTTGTCTGGCAGTACATACCCCTCATCCATCCATGTGGAAAATAACCTCCAGACTTCCAGCAAAACCAATACCTGAAAAGTTTTACGTGCCTTTGACAAAAGGACCTGGAGAAAAGGCGCGCCTTCCAAAAAAGAAAGAAAGCCGCGCCTCCCGCTTTTTGGGGCAGGGCGTGCAGCTGGAAGTGCCCCGGCTGCGGCTCAGCGATTCCCTGCGCCTCTTGGGGCTGCTGCTTCCGCTGCCCTGCACGGTGCAGTTGCTGGAGGAGACAAAAATTCTGCAAGGGGCGGCGAAACTTGGAGTTGGACCCTCCAAGCGACAGGGATTCCTTGTTGGTTTCCCTGGCCAACCAGAGTTTTGCGGTGTCCCTTTCGGTTTCCCTTGAAACCAGCGCGACCCCAAGTGGGGGGGACCCCCCGAAATTATGAGTTTTCCTTTGAGCCTCGAAAAACATCAACCTCGCCGCGCTTCTCTCGAGGAGACGTTGCCCATTCCGCTGCAGGGCCCGCTGTTGGGCGCCTGCGGCATCTTCTGCGCAGCCGCCAGCGGCTTGCTCAGCGAAGGCCTGTGAGCCCCGGGGGGGCTGGTTGCTTTTTTGTCTAGTTCCCCACCTGAAAGCTATGGGATCTCTGCCCGAGGTATTCTCCGGAGTTGGGGCAGCTTTCAGGGAGGCTGCAACCCAACTTTAGCAAGTCCCAACCAGCACAGTATTTGGACATGGAAATGGAGCAGAACCCCGGAGTGTGAAATTGTTCAGCTTTGGAAGGTCCAAGCACTTGGCTTGTCACAAGATCAGAAAATACCCAACATAATTGTTCTTTTGCTCTTTTTTTTCCTCTCCCCACCGCCGCGCAGGGCACCAGGCGTGGCCCACAGCGCTGCTGGCGCTGCTCCGCGCGCTGCTCGCGGCGCTGGGCGCGTGGAGCGCCAGCTACGCGGCGCTCTCCGCGGCGCTGCTGGCCTCCGTGGCCGCGGCCTCAGCGGAGCTCCGAGCGATCGCTCGGGGCTCGGGGCCCGGGGCCCGGCTCGGGGCTGGGAGCCAGGCCTTGCCCCCAACTAATGTGAACCCCCGATGAAGTTAAACCCCTGGTTCAGAAACATGGGGGGGTGTCCCCTTTTAGTGGGGAGTCATCACTTTTGGAGGGAACACCCCCCCTAATCATGGGACGGGTTTATTAATCCTGGGTCAGCATTAGATGGAAATCTTTGAACCTCTACAACACCACATTAGATGAACATCAGATGATGGACATCTGGAACCTCAAAAGTGGTCTTGCAAATTGGGGTGGCAGATTAGGGTTTTATAAAGCTACATTAGATGTGGGTGGTAAATCACCATCTGTGTTAGATGTACCAAGGTCGTTTGACATGTTGTGTTTGGTAGAAACCGCATGAAACCGGCCGGTTGACTCGCCGGTTGACCGGTGTTTTTGTTCAGAAACCACGCGTCGTTCCTTTGCTGTTTGAAGAAAAGGGTTCACTTCCTGAGTGGCGATTTGTGAAGAGAAGGAAACGCACGCATTCCACTTTACACATCACCACAAATGGAGAAAACTCCTGTGAAATTGGCCCCAAAAGGTTTGCTTGAAGTGGGTCTCCGCACGGGTTCCCACAACTCCAAGGTGATGGGAGTGTTTTTTCCACACCCCAGGGCTCAGATCCGTCAAGAATTCTACTACCCCTGAAAGATCCGACTCCTCCAGGAAACGTACGGAACAGGCCCTTCAGGGCCTGTGACGTTTTTCCCGCCCATATCCGCACCTGCGACTCTCATTGTTGAGGTCTCAGAAAATATGATACCCTTCCTCCCACACACGCAGCACCGCTGGGGGTAGCTGGACTGGCTCCCCGTCCGAAATCGACATCGCCTTCCTCATCGAACCTTCAACAAGTAGTTGGCCATCAGAATCACCAGAGGCAAACTTAGCCGGCGGCCGCGATTTCTGACTTTCTTCAACAGTCAAAAGTTGATCTTGCGGGGTTGCCAATCAAAAAGCCGGTGTCTGACTTCCCCCAGAAACAGTAGGTTGAACTTGTGTTGGTCAAAAAGCCAAAAGTCAACACATCCAACCCTCCACCGAGCCCTCCAACTCTTTGAAGTCAAAACTTTGGTGCATGTTGCTTGGATGTTAGGACTTTAACCTTTTGCCAACGAATGGGGTTGTCCAATAAACCACTTCTTGTTAAGCTTTTAGCAGGGGAGCAGACAGCAACCGAGACAAGAGTCGCGGGTCTCAGGACCTGCGGCGCCTGGACCACCGCGGGCGCCGGAGCCGGGCGCAGCTGGCGGCGGTCTTCGGGGCGGCGCACGTGGCGTCCATCTTCAAGTCCCAGGTGTGGGACATGGAGGAGGCCTATGGGGTTGGGGGGAGCTGGGTTGAGAGGGGTTGGGTGGGGTGGGTAGGTTGGGAAAGTGCTTTTTTTGGTTTGGTGTTTTTTTTGTGGTTGGGTTCTTTGTTTGTTCATGTTTTTTTTTGGGGGGGGGAAGAAGTTGCTAATAATCCATGTGCCATCATGTGCCAACGCTTTGGGTAGGTCGTTGAGAAAGGTTCGGACTAAGGCCGAACTGAGAAAGCACCTTCTGGGGAAGCAGCGCATACACACACACACACACACAAACGCACGCACGCACGCACGCACGCACGCACGCACGCACGCACGCACGCACGCACGCACGCACGCACGCACGCACGCACGCACGCACGCACGCACGCACGCACGCACGCACGCACGCACGCACGCACGCACGCACGCACGCACGCACGCACGCACGCACGCACGCACGCACGCACGCACGCACGCACGCACGCACGCACGCACGCACGCACGCACGCACGCACGCACGCACGCACGCACGCA